TGTTGTAGGGATCTGGGAATCCTAGCTTTATTATAGCTAGTGGGATATTCTACATTTACAGATTTCCTACCGATTGGAGCACCATTCGCCTCTCTGACTTCGCGAACCAGGACCTCTAAGCGATCCAACCTCCTGCTAGACCGGAGGCAATCGTAACAACACGTGTCAAAAAGAATTTTGTCACAAAAACATCACAGCTCAAAAAAGTATTGATCCTTAAAGGAACACAAACATGCATTCCTGACCCTATAGCGTTAAAAACACAATCTTGCTGTGGCGAAACCGACCTCGCCACTGGGCATTGGAGAATACTGATTGCCAGCTTCCTGCCATGTGACTATGGCCCCTGGGATGTATTGCCCTTTAAAGACATCATTTGGGCTTATTGGATTTTGAAACACTTTTTCTGCCCCTTTGAATACATAAGAAGGTGTGCCCCTCCCCTGTTTCCTGTCTATTGTTCACCAGCAGGGCGTTGTCCCAGGGACACTGCCAGACCAGTTGGAACTTGTTGCTATGGTTTAACCCCATGGCGATTTGACTGTGTTTGTGGAATCTGAGCGCTGTTCGGCTATAGTGAGCGCTCAGATCCAAGCTATCTGGGGACAGGTTGAATGTGGGGGTTCTGTTAAGTATAATAAGAATTATGTATTTTTATTGTTGTTGTGAATAGAGCTATTTTCTGTATTTCTCTGTCTGTGATAATTACATTACCCATTGTGTAAGGTAATTGTATCACAGGCAGAGGGGAGGATTTTGTGTGGGAGTGTCTGAGTGTATTGTACGTGTTTATTGGTTGTTTTCCAAAACCCTGTGGGGGGTGGTAATGTGTATATAAGAACAATAAACCCACAGCTCTGTCTGTTCCTGCGTGACCCTCAAAACGGAGCCTTGTCTCGTTCTTGAGAGGGATTTATTGTATGCTGTTCCAGTTTGACTGCTAGGCGTGTAAACCTATTCGTATGATTTTTCCTATTCGGCTGTTTACAGCATTCGTATGGTTCTGGTTTGGCTGTTTACGGCATTCATGTGCTTCTGCGGTTCGGTTGATTGGGATCTACAGTAGCTGCCTGTATAACTGGAAGGGGAATATCTACTAAACGGCTTTAACCCCTTTTATGCCTGGGGGTGCCGTTACACTAGCCCCTTGCCCCCTTAAATATAATAAAATCTTACTTTTATTCCAGTCTCCTGGTGCTGGCTCTGCCCCTGATCTGCCTGTTTGGCTGACATCATCAGAAGTGGTGATCTGAGCCAATCACAATGCTTTCTCATTGGTAAGCATTAGATTGGCTGAGAAGGTCAAGAAGGCAGATCAGGGGCAGAGCCAAACACAGCCTTGGCCAATCAGCATCTCCTCATAGAGATGAATTGAATCAATGCCTTTCTATGTGGAAAGTTCAGTGCCTGCATGCAGAGGGTGGAGACACTGAATGTCAGTCACACTGTGCAGCACTGCCCCAGGAAGCACCTCTAGTAGGCATCTGAGTGGCCAGTGGAGGTATCCATAGGCTGTTTGTTTATCTGAAACAAACAGTGTTTACAGCAAAAAGCATAGACATAGAAACATAGAATGTGACGGCAGATAAGAACCATTCGGCCCATCTAGTCTGCCCAATTTTCTAAATACTTTCATTAGTCCCTGGCCTTATTTTATAGTTAGGATAGCCTTATGCCTATCCCACGCATGCTTAAACTCCTTTACTGTGTTAACCTCTACCACTTCAGCTGGAAGGCTATTCCATGCATCCACTACCCTCTCAGTAAAGTAATACTTCCTGATATTATTTTTAAACCTTTGTCCCTCTAATTTAAGACTATGTCCTCTTGTTGTGGTAGTTTTTCTTCTTTTAAATATAGTCTCCTCCTTTACTGTGTTGATTCCTTTATGTATTTAAATGTTTCTATCATATCCCCCCTGTCTCGTCTTTCCTCCAAGCTATACATGTTAAGATCCTTTAACCTTTCCTGGTAAGTTTTATCCTGCAATCCATGAACCAGTTTAGTAGCCCTTCTCTGAACCCTCTCTAAGGTATCAATATCCTTCTGAAGATACGGTCTCCAGTACTATGTACAATACTCCAAGTGAGGTCTCACCAGTGTTCTGTACAATGGCATGAGCACTTCCCTCTTTCTACTGCTAATACCTCTCCCTATACAACCAAGCATTCTGCTAGCATTTCCTACTGCTCTATTACATTGTCTGCCTACCTTTAAGTCATCAGAAATAATCACCCCTAAATCCCTTTCCTCATGTTGAGGTTAGAACTCTATCAAATATTCTGTACTCTGCCCTTGGGTTTTTACGTCCAAGATGCATTATCTTGCACTTATCCACATTAAATGTCAGTTGCTACAACTCTGACCATTTTTCTAGTTTTACCTAAATCATTTGGCTTATCCCTCCTGGAACATCAACCCTGTTACATATCTTAGTATCATCAGCAAAAAGACATACCTTACCATCAAGACCTTCTTCAATACCACTAATAAAAACTTATAAGAGAATGGGTCCAAGTACAGATCCCTGAGGTACCTCTACTGCGATGCTTCCTTGCTTTCTGAATATATTCCATAATCTTTTTACAAATCTCTGTTGTTCGTCACTAGCCACTGCTTTACCTATTCAACACATATTAAATCTTAAACTTAAAGTATTTTCTGCAGCCGGGCTGATAAGCTCTCTATGTGCAACAGTGTCAAAAGCCTTACTGAAATCTAGGTAAGTAAATGCCTACTGCACCTCCCTTGATCTATAATGTTAGTTACCCAATCAAAAATTGGCCAGCTAGTTTGCATGATCTTCCCCTAAACTCCATGTTGTCTCTGATCTTGGAAATTCATGTGTTTTAGATGTTCAGCAATCCTATCTCTAAATATGGTTTACTACTTTCCCCACTACTGAAGTAAGGTTTACTGGCCTATAGTTGCCCGACTCCTCCCTATTACCTTTCTTGTGAATGGGTACAACATTCGCTAACTTCCAATCTTCTGGGACTACTCCTGTTAATGATTGGTTAAATAAATCTGTTAATGGTTTTGCTAGTACACCACTAAGCTCTTTTAATAGCTTTGGGTGTATTCCATCAAGTCCCATTGACTTATTTGTCTTTACTTTTGACAGTTGAAATAGAACCTCTTCCTCTGTAAACTCACGTGTAGTAAATGACTCATTTATCCTTTTTCTCAACTGAGGTCCCTTTCCTTCATTTTCATCTGTAAATACAGAACAAAAATATTCATTGAGGCAGTCAGCTAGACCTTTATCCTCTTCTACATACCTTTCTTCTTTTGTTTTTAATCTAACTAATCCTTGTTTTACTTTTCTTTTCTCATTTATGTATCTAAAAAAAGTTTTGTCCCCCTTTTTTTTACTGACTGTGCTATTTTCTCTTCTGTGTGTGATTTGAAAGCTCTTATAACTTGCTTAGCCTCTTTCTGCCTAATCTTATAGATCATTTTGTCTTCCTCACTCTGGGTTTTTTTATAATTACTAAATGCTAACTTTTCGTTTTTTAACTATTTTTGCCACATCATCGGAGTACCACAGTGGTTTCTTGAATTTTTTGCTTTTACTGACAAGCCTAATGCAATTTTCTGTTGCCTTCGATAGTGCAACTTTTAAATAATCCCATTTCTCTTGGACTCCATTTAAATTGCTCCAGTCTGATAATGACTCCTCTACACATATTCTAATTTTAGAAAAGTCTGTTTTTCTAAAGTCTAAAACTTGTTTTTGTGTGGTGTGACTCAGTCACTGTTCTTATATTAAACCACACTGACTGATGATCACTGGATCCTAAACTTTCACCTACAGTAATATCTGATACCAAATCTCCATTTGTTAACACTAAATCTAGTATGGCCTCTTTCCGAGTTGGCTCCTCAACAGCTTGTCTTAGAGACAATCCCAGTAGGGAGTTTAGAATATGTGTGCTCCTGGCACAAGTAGCTAATTTTGTTTTCCAATTTACATCAGGAAGATTAAAGTCACCCATGATGACAACTTCCCCCTTCATTGTCATTTTAGCCATTTCCTCAACTAGTAGATTATCTAACTCTTCAATTTGTCCTGGGGGCCTATAAATCACACCTACACGAGTTACTGTGTGATTACCAAATTCTAACGTAACCCAAACGGACTCTGTTCGCCTCACTAACTTTTATTAGGCTAAATTTTATGCTATCCTTCACATACAGGGCCACCCCTCCCCTTTTCTTGCCTTCTCTGTCTTTTCTATATAAAGAGTACCCTGGTATTGCTATGTCCCAGTCATTTTTCTCATTGTACCATGTCTCAGTAACAGCGACTAAATCTACACTATCAGTTGCCATTATTGCCACAAGTTCATGGATCTTATTCCCTAAACTGCGAGCATTTGTCGACATGACTCTAAGCTTATCATTTTTTAACACACTTGCTACAGGCACCTGCTGTCCTTGTTTTGGGGGGCAATTGGATTGATGTTTTATCACCCTATTGCCCCCCCTCCTAGTTTAAATACATCCTAGCAAAACCTCTGAACTGCTCACTGAGAACATTTGTTCCCTTTTGAGAAAGATGCAAACCATCTTTTTTGTACAGCTCATTTCCATTCCAAACAGAGCTACCATGAGAAATAAAGCCAAATCCTTGCTCCCGACACCATTCTCCAAGCCACAAATTAATGGCAATGATTCTACTCACCAGAACAAATACAGATTCTGTAAATATATATATATATTTTTTTTTTAAATGCCGGTGTTTTTTGTTTTAACTAAATATTCATGGGTATAATGACTATTACAAGTATGCGAGCTATTGATAAGAGGAGGAATCTCAAATTGTTTTTGTTTCTTTTCCTTCTTTTGGACGAACAGCATAAAAACAATCGGTTTTAAAGTTTATACTCCATGGACTGGAGTCTTTTTTTTTTTCTACCTACATTACTATGCAAATACATTCTGTACAGGAATATAAAAATCCAGAAATGGAAAAAGATAAATACACTGTTTTACTATTTTCTTTTACTTTAAACAAAATACTTTAACAAAGTCAGTTTATTAGAGATAAACAAGAAAATGAGAAATACTGTGAAAATATTTACAAGCCAGAACGAGTCTAAGAAGAGTGAGTGTAATAACAAAAATACAATTTCTACTAACATACAGAGAAATAAGAACAATTAAACATGTTGCTGCATTCAGCCATAATTCTACCACTTCCACAAATACCCAGGCTAACTCTGGCCTCAGGTAGCTATTGGCTGCTGGATGACGGACATCACTGCAACAGATAAAATGGAGCCACGTAAACGGGAATAGACATTATTCCATTATTTAAGATGGGGGGGGAATACAAAGCCTCGCTCATTCAGTTTAACTATCCTTCAACCCCACACAACCAGCTTTAAGGATATAGTGGAGGGAAGGATAAGAGACACTCTGGAATGGGCTGTCTGAGCTGCCTTTTACCAGTATCTCTCCAGCACTGAATCCTACTTTCTGGTTTTTATTTGAACTATGATGTATCTACTCATAGAAAGGTAGTTTAAGGCTGTATTCTGACAGTAGTGATGAGAGGGAAGGTCACCCCCGTTTTAGTTCATGTCTCGGCCATGCATGTAAATACTGTCATTTCTTTGACAACATGAGAAACTTATTAACTCTACAATATGAAAAACAGGGACCAGCAGCTTCCTGACACGAGTACAGAAGATAACACAGTGTGCAGAGATACAATAAATGCAGTCAAACTGCTTCTGCCATATGCAATCTGTCCAGACGGACATGTTTCAGTAAGGGAATATCAGTAACTAGTAACAGCTGGCTGCTGGCCTTCATATTCTGAAAGTCTAGTCAGATCCATCGGTGAAGAGAACCTATGGATCCGCCGGCTTTGTCATAATGTATAGTTTGCCCCGTCAGACAGCGATTAAGATCTAAAACTTTATGAAACTACATTAATGAATTTCTATCAGTGTCCAGGACTGCTCAGAATCTTGGCCTTTTCCTCGTATTTTGTTAAAAGTTCTTGGAGATCCGCCAACAGGTCTTCTTTCATAAACTCCTCATACTCCTTCTCCACCTTCAGACGCTTCTCCTCCAGGTGTTTCTGAAAAGTACGTTACATGTAAGTCAGTATCAGAATATAGTAATCTGCTCCAACATTGAACAACGTTGTTTATTTTTCCTGAATTTATTTTGCAGCAATGAGTCCACCCACTAAAACGGATACAAAGGTATTTAAGAACAGGGACTAAAATGTAGATCTCTTATAAATGGATTTATAACAAAATCAAACTACAATAACTTGGCTGGAGCTTATTCTCACTTGGCGCGATATTTATGTAATCAATTTCTAAACGTTACTTAAAAGGCCTTAATGTTCATAAACAAATCACATGTAAAGAAAAATAATTGTGCAATAAGTTAAACGGCAAGGTAGATTACAGCAAAGGAGTGTCCACATCACAAACAATGAAGAGATTGTTAAATCCTCACATTTGCCAGCCTTGTACCGGTCCCTGGATACTACATCCATTGTGGTTGGAGCAGGGAGACAGGTTGCTGGGGATTAGGGTAATATACAAAGGACCCTCTGAGATAAGGCCAATTTCATGGGGGGGATTTTATATTCTAATGTTTAATGGAACAGTATGTGTTTCAGCAGATCACGATTTTCTCATCTCCCAATTTCATAGAAAAGTGTTCTACTCCTCCCAATAATGGCATCAACCCCCTCTTCTGGCATCTTTTTTTTTTTTATAATTCTTTATTTTTTGCTGTGCAAGAGATAAACATGCTTGCAATGCCACGGCGGCAGTTACAGGTATAGTTGAACATTTGTATGGCATTCAGAGAAATGGCACAATTGTATAAAATGTATAATGCAAGCTGAATACAGGCTAAATAAGTACGTCTAATGTGGTGGGTCACGTTGAGGTCAGCAAGCCTGAGACATTAAAAACATGTATGGGCACACTTGGCTTAGGAAGTCAGGTTTGCTTAATTATACAAGAATAAACAATGAAAACCTATTGAGCAGAAACTTAGAATGAATACACAGTCTAGCTATACTATTGGGGAGGAGGTAAGGGCGTGGGGGGTTAAGACTCAATATCGGGGTCTCCATGCAGCCGATGTGAGGGCAAGGAGAGCGGCTGCACCTCCCCGGCTCCATCACCTGCAAGTCGCGGTGTGTCACCTCGGGCACTTGTTTGTGGGAAACTCTTGATTGAGGTGTCAGGAGGTTCACCTGGGTGCCCCTACTTTGGGTAGCGAACCCCTTTATTTCCATAAAGTCAGCATTGATAGTGGGAGCCCGGCCGACATGCGACTGCTCAGCTAGCAGGTCAGACTGCGCCCCCCCTTCTGGCATCTTAAAAGGACAGAGGCCAAGGTCAGGTTTCCTGAAGCAGTAACCCTATTCCTTGCATAGTCTATAAATTCTTCATGGCCCAGCGCTCTATTTGCATATTATAACCCGGAATATTTCACAGAACTCTGCACAAGAAAGGTAAAAACAGAGAAATGTACACCTACCCCAGCAACAACCAGCAATTCATACAAACATGGTTAGAAAGGCCTCCCACGTCTATTAAACTCACCTCTATGACTGCCATATGATTAGCCACAGCATTAACCACACGCACCAGCTTGCTTCCCACCTGTCGCATCTCTTCCTCAGCCTGATGTTCCACTAGCTGCAGCCTAATGAGAAATAAAAGGATATTCACTATTTATGGATTCCCTGGGAGTAGTCAAAAATGAAAAATAAATGGAATTGCGTTGTGGCGCCTTGATACATTTCCCCCCTAAATGTGAAAAAAAAAAAAAAAAGCACTCATGGCACCAGCGTAAAATATGACACAGAATAAAATCTTCAGTTGAACTGAATTTTGCAAATGTATAGCAGCGATAGAGGCCACCCCACCGTTACACTGTATGAAAGGGCCACTAAGGAGTTCCAAGAGATAGGGTGTACGGCAGTGGGAGAGATGGGAGGCTGCTGTCTTCACATGGAAATCAGGAGCTGAAAAAGTAATTCACCGAAAGATACAGCTTTAAAAAGTTTAGGCTGTGGCTAACCAATCAAAAAATGTAAATTCCTAAATTAAAGAATATGAATTATGTATTCATTATTATTATGAATTGTTAAGACACCCCCAGTGTCTTTACGGAAAACCGCCGTTTAGTCGACCTTCCCCGTCTGTAATACCAATAATCTCCGTTCGCATAACCTGTAGTGCACGAACCAAATGCAGGGGAAGCGGCAATCTCCCGACTGGGATCCGTGAGCGGCTCCAAACTCCCGAACGGCAATACACGAACTGCTGCTAGCCGCCAAACAATAACATCCACCAAGCGGCTTTCGTTTCCATCCAGCAGTCTCTAAACGTGAAGAAGAAATCCCCCCAATAACGAGACAGAAGCTCCGCATTGAGGGTCAAACAGGATCTGGCTTTACTGTGGGCTACCTGCCCGTATTTATGCAGGTCTCCCACTTGGTGGACACTCCCCTAGGGGACCAAATGGGAGACTTAAATGACAGACAGATATGGGGACATTCCATACACACAGTCACAGTTTTTACCCACAATGCACTATGATTCCCTCCCCTCTGCCCTGGAGATAATTACCAAGTAACTCAATTATCTCCAAGACAAAGCCAGTCGCCATTTTAAAATATAAAATCAAAAAAGACATAAAAATACATAACTTTACAAAAACCGAACATTTCCCATTCGCATCACATATCCCCAGATAGCCTGGATCTGAGTGCATATTATTAGCGAATAGTGCTCAGATCCCACACACATAGTTCAATCGCCATGGAGTCAAAGTTCTTACAGTCTTTTGGTATACGAATGATTCCATGGGAAGGCTATCTGGGTTAAGTCCTTTCGTATGCTTTCAAAACTCCCGAATGGCCGGTATTCGTATGTTTTCGTGGAGGCAGCCAGGCGTTCCGTTGTTTCAGCGGTGTTCGGCAGAAAAAGTGTCCGTTTTTAGTTCCATGAAAATAGAGTCGAACACCGCTGGGCTTTCGCGTGGTTTTAAAATGGTCGATGCCTCGTGGTCGACATACGAACGACGACCACCCTGAATTCGGTTTAATTGAGAAGTGTCTGCGGTTAACCACAACGGTCTAATTGGGATCACTAGGTTAACCAGCAGCACACTTCTCTCCTGGGTGTCCGTCCGTTCGGCAGGTTTGTTCGGGGAAAAAACAGTCATTCGTATGGCTGGGCTAAAGAAAACCGCCATTTACACGAACAGGATAGAAACAGACGAATACACCTGCAATAAACAGACAGATGGTTCTGTCACATGCATTATGTATTATTCCAGCTTGGTGCAATGGATATGTTAGCAATAGTCTCCGGACACCGTTCCCTGCATTCATTTTATTAAACAGTTAATGGATGAGAACCAAAGTTAGGGCTCTCACTGGAACCTACAGACCACCTCCTACTTGCCACATTTTTAATCCACTTCCACGTTGATAATTATATTTCCATACTATAAATGGAATTTGTTGGCTTTCATCTTGTCACTGTGAAAGGTTGGACAAAAATGGTATTGATAACGAGGTAATGTTAAAGGACCACTATAGTCACCGAAATTACTTATAGTACTTTAATAAATAAAGCAGTTTTAGTGTATAGATCATTCCCCTGCAATTTCACTGCTCAATTCCCTGTCATTTAGGAGTTAAATCACTTTGTTTCTGTTTATGCAGCCCTAGCCACACCTCCCCTGGCTATGATTGACACAGCCTGCATGAAAAAAAAACTGGTTTCACTTTCAAACAGATGTAATTTACCTTAAATAATTGTATCTCAATCTCTAAATTGAACTTTAATCACATACAGGAGGCTCTTGCAGAGTCTAGCAAGCTATTAACATAGCAGGAGATTAGAAAATCTTAATTAAACAGAACTTGCAATAAAGAAAGCCTAAATAGGGCTCTCTTTACAGGAAGTGTTTATGGAAGGCTGTGCAAGTTACATGCAGGGAGGTGTGACTAGGGTTCATAAACAAAGGGATTTAACTCCTAAATGGCAGAGGATTGAGCAGTGAGGCTGAAGGGGCATGTTCTATACACCAAAACTGCTTAATTAAGCTAAAGTTGTTCAGGTGACTATAGTGTCATCATTGTGGCTGAGAAAATTATGCAGAAATGTTCAAGATGAGCTGCCTTAGAGATGGAAAAGAAACCTGGTTAAATCACACATCCAGTGCAAGACTTGAACATATGTTATTAGCTGGAGGTTTGGCAACCTATTATTTGTTTAGCTTTCTACTTTAGTTCACCATGACTGAATAGAACTCATTAAAATTAATTCTCTATTGATTTTAAACTTTCTTTTGCTTTAGCGGATCTGTCATGGGCCATTTAAGGAAACGCCGCGCATTCCCAGGAACAGAGGCAAAGGCATCTGTATTGAGCATGCGCGATGCTCCGTGAAGAACAGAGGATGGTCACAGAAAACAAGGGATGCCACAGGGAAGGGAGTAGTGTGGTGAAATGGGACTTGACAAATCTCAACAAAGTAAATGGAGTTTGTCTTAAGCTCCACTCTTTATCAAGTGAAGGAAAAACACATAAAGCAAAGTTGTCCCTACTTTGTCTAATGTATGTTGTGAAAACAAAAAAGCAAAAATGAAGAAAAGAAGAACAAATTCAGAAAGAGAAAGAGAAGAGGAAATGATTAGAGAAAGAAAGAGAAGTTTGGGCCAACAGAGCCACGTTAATTTTGAATACAAAATGTATGCTTTAAAGTTTCATAGTAGTTTGTAATATGCATTAAGATTGCGATGGAGTTGAGCAGAGCTGGACCTTTCAGATAATCTACATGAAGTATATATTTAGGGTTACTCCAAGCACTATAATCACCTAGTTTTTTGAAGTGGCCATGGTGCTTGAAGTTTGTATTGCAGTGTTTAATTTTGAAATGCTACACATATAAAGTTAAAGTCCTTTGCTATCGTATTTCATTAAACCAGTTTTTTGGTTGGAGTAGCTTTTTAAAGCAAACCGCTGTGTCTGTGTTGGGGCTTTTATACAATACCCACTCTTGTTGGACTTTCTGAAGTTCTTTCATAGCTTCATCCAGACTCTTGTTAACCCCAGACTCGAGCAGCTGTCGGTGCTTCTCTAACGATTCGATCTCAGAGATCCATTTTTTCTCATCGTCATCAATTTCCTGAACATTGGAAGTAAACAGGAGGATTTAGAAAAACAAACAACAAAATTATCCCACACACAGATCAGGTCTATGGAGACTATGCAAGTAGTATTCTAAAATACACAGGAACATAGTTCAGCTATATTCCAGATAACATGATTATAAGCATTAAAAAAAATAAAAACACACACAACAACATCTGGGGGATCAACCTTTTGGGCATCCCTGGCTAGCGCCATCTCCAATCATCCTCACCAATATTTCACTCCCCATGCTCATCTCTTGTTTCTGACTAGAAGGTGATGATATCTGCAGTTATTCACATTCTACACACTGATCATCATGTTATCCCAGTTATTCCTCCATTCACTGAGCAGCTCTATCTTAAGTAATCAGTTTATTCTTCATTTTAATCACAGGTGCTCATCAGGGCTCTATATGAAAAAAGCTGACCTTGCATAACCCTCAGTACATGCAGCTGATAACCCATCCTTCAGCTTTGGATAACCCACACCTTCCTCAACCTGAGCAGCTAAACACACAATCCTAACCTCGGGTCACCCACCCCTTCCTCAGCATGAGCAGCTAAACACACAATCCTAACCTCGGGTCACCCACCCCTTCCTCAGCCTGAGCAGCTAAACACACAGTCCTAACCTCGGGTCACCCACCCCTTCCTCTGCATGACCAGCTAAACACACAATCCTAACCTCGGGTCAGCCACCCCTTCCTCAGCATGAGCAGCTAAACACACAGTCCTAACCTTGGGTCACCCACCCCTTCCTCAGCCTGAGCAGCTAAACACACAGTCCTAACCTCGGGTCAGCCTCCCCTTCCTCAGCATGAGCAGCTAAACACACAGTCCTAACCTTGGGTCACCCACCCCTTCCTCAGCCTGAGCAGCTAAACACACAGTCCTAACCTCGGGTCACCCACCCCTTCCTCAGCATGAGCAGCTAAACACACAATCCTAACCTCGGGTCACCCACCCCTTCCTCAGCATGAGCAGCTAAACACACAATCCTAACCTTGGGTCACCCACCCCTTCCTCAGCCTGAGCAGCTAAACACACAGTCCTAACCTTGGGTCACCCACCCCTTCCTCTGCATGAGCAGCTAAACACACAATCCTAACCTCGGGTTACCCACCTCTTCCTCTGCATGAGCAGCTAAACACACAGTCCTAACCTTGGGTCACCCACCCCCTTCCTCTGCCTTAGCAGCTAAACATACAATCCCAAACTTGGGTCACCCACCCCTTCCTCTGCATGACCAGCTAAACACACAATCCTAACCTCGGGTTACCCACCTCTTCCTCTGCATGAGCAGCTAAACACACAGTCCTAACCTTGGGTCACCCACCCCCTTCCTCTGCCTTAACAGCTAAACATACAATCCCAAACTTGGGTCACCACCCGCAGCTTCCTCTGGTTGAGCAGCTAGACACTCATGCACTTTTAATGTTATCTGTATCTCCTTTAGTCAATTTAGAGTCATTAATACTGTATATGAGTTTCTATGTATTAACTAACTGCCCAAGTCCTACCTCCAGTTTCTGCTGGTACAGCTCTTCAAGTTTTTGGGCCTCGTCCTTGTGAATCTTCACATCATTCTTCTTTTCTTCTATTACAGTGCTCACCTAGAACAAGACCGCATAAGTAGTCTGAGGATTGTAAGGACATTGAGATCTGATTGGGATCAGCTTGGACAGGCTGCTCTGTTTAGGAAAGGAGTTATAGAGAAATGTTTTCAACTGAACTGGTATTAAAAAAATATATGTAAAAATACCTGGAATATGGATGAAGCAAAGCTAGAACTAAAAGAACATTTAACTATATAAGAAAATGGGGTGATGGCATAACTGGCCATATCTAATTATACAAATTAAACTAAGAATTCACTTAACAGTAACTGCAAAAATGTGGCATTGTGATGGGCCTTAAAGACCACTATAGGCACCCAGACCACTTCAACTTAATGAAGTGGTCTGGATGCCAGGTTCAGCTAGGGTTAACACTTTTTTCTATAAACATAGCAGTTTCAGAGAAACTGCTATGTTTATAATAGGGTTAATCCAGCCTCTAGTGGCTGTCTCATTGACAGCCGCTAGAGGCGCTTGCGTGCTTCTCACTGTGATTTTCACAGTGAGAAGACGTCAGCGTCCATAGGAAAGCATTGTGAATGCTTTCCTATGGACTGGCTGAATGCGCGCGCGGCTCGTGCCACGCATGCACATTCAGCCGAGGAGGAGGAGGAGAGTCCCCCGCTCGGCGCTGGAGAAAGAGGTAAGTTTAACCCCTTCCACCCCCTAGAGCCCGGCGGGAGGGGGGCCCTGAGGGTGGGGGCTCCCTCAGGGCACTATAGTGCCAGGAAAACGAGTATGTTTTCCTGGCACTATAGTGGTCCTTTAAGATTAACATCTTTACAAATGGTTTTGGTGAAGAGCATGAAATCTACTATTGGTGTTTTTATAAATGATCTACAATAGAAATGGCATGGTGGAGCTGGACTGTGAGAGGGTTACTCGGGGGAGGAGATACATGAAAAGGAACATCAAGGCTCCACCTGTGAGGTTCTAAGAAAACACTTTCTGTTCCTACAAGTATTTCTGTTACTCACCTGTTCAATCATGTTCTCCACCTCCATCTTCTTATTTGTAGCACTTGTTATTTGACCTTCAGACTGTGACAAAATTTCTACCAGCGGAACCTTTAAATATTAATGTAGAACGTCACCAAAACTTATAGAGCATGTCAAAGCTTTAGGACTTTATAGTACAGGAGCTCAGAGACAACATGAAAACAGACAATCCACTGATCCACATTGCTCAAGGCCCTTACAGGCCAAAACTCAGGTTATCACCAACCAGAAGGAGAATAAGTGCATCAGATGTGCTAGGTACAGAACAGATGGATTACCAGATTTACTTTTTAACAGGTATGAACCACCCTGTCCCCCCCTCACCTAAATAAATAGAGTTTGGTGAGCATATCCTATCAGTCATCTGGTTGAATGCAGTTTCGTTAGCATACCCTATCAGTCATCTGGTTGAATACAGTTTGGTGAGCATACCCTGTCAGTCATCTGGTTAAAGACAGTTTGGTGAGCATTCCCTGTCATCTGGTTGAATACAGTTTGGTGAGCATACCCTGTCAGTCATCTGGTTAAAGACAGTTTGGTGAGCATACCCTATGAGTCATCTGATTAAAGACCATTTGGTTAGTATACCCTATCAGTCATCTGGTTAAAGACAATTTGGTAAGCATACCCTATCAGTCATCTGGTTAAAGACAATTTGGTTAGCATACCCGATCAGTCATCTGGTTAAAGACAATTTGGTTAGCATACCCTATCAGTCATCTGGTTAAAGACAGTTTGGTGAGCATACCCTATCAGTCATCTTGTTAAAGACAGTTTGGTGAGCATACCCTATCCGTCATCTGGTTAAAGACAGTTTGGTTAGCATACCCTACCAGTCATCTGGTTAAAAACAATTTGGTTAGCATACCCTATCAGTCATCTGGTTAAAGACAATTTGGTTAGCATACCCTACCAGTCATCTGGTTAAAGACAGTTTGGTTAGTATACCCTATCAGACATCTGGTTAAAGACAGTTTTGTTAGCATACCCTATCAGTCATCTGGTTAAAGACAATTTGGTTAGTATACCCTACCAGTCATCTGGTTAAAGACAGTTTGGTTAGTATACCCTACCAGTCATCTGGTTAAAGACAGTTTGGTTAGCATATCCCAGTGATTGATCACTTGGTCACAGGTTGGTTAGCACACTAATGTTCAGCTGGTTAGGCACCAAATTGGAAAATTGTTGCATATGGAAAATTTTGTGACCTGTAATAGAAACTGAAATCTAATATATATTATTTATATAGTGCCAGCAAATTCCGTAGCGCTATATATGATGCACTCCGTAATTTACTTTTCTTATGCTGCACTAAAATATATTTTTATATTAAGTTAGAATTTATAGAGGTATAAGTCACATCCAATTAAAGCCCTTTTCCATCCTTAAATAAACACTTTATAGCATGTTTTGGTGCAATAAATGAGAAAGATGGAAATTGTGGTTGAACTCACACATAGCAAATAATCCTAAATTGTCTTAATGTGCACACCGGGCAAACTGTAGCCATGTCCTAAGGCATTTAGCAGATAGTTTACTGTGGCAAACCTAGCCACTTTTAGGTTACTGGACTATAATTGCAAAAGGTTGTCTGTAATAGCCGCTGGATTGTTTATTGTAATGTCTGCCTGTGTTGATATGTTTTAGAGCATTCGTATGCTAGCAGTCGAAAGCCGCTAGGTAGGCAGACAATGTAGTGAGACCTCATTTGGAGTATTGTACACAGTACTGGAGACCATATCTTCAGAAGGATATTGATACCTTAGAGAGAGTTCAGAGAAGGGCTACTAAACTGGTTCATGGATTGCGGGATAAAACTTACCAGGAAAGGTTGAAGGATCTTAACATGTATAGCTTGGAGGAAAGACGAGACAGGGGGCATATGATAGAAACATTTAAATATATAAAGGGAATCAACACAGTAAAGGAGGAGACTATATTTAAATGAAGAAAAACTACCACAACAAGAGGACATAGTCTTAAATTAGAGGGACAAAGGTTTAAAAATAATATCAGGAAGTATTACTTTACTGAGAGGGTAGTGGATGCATGGAATAGCCTTCCAGCTGAAGTGGTAGAGGTTAACACAGTAAAGGAGTTTAAGCATGCGTGGGATAGGCATAAGGCTATCCTAACTAGAAGATAAGGCTAGGAACTAATGAAAGTATTTAGAAAATTGGGCAGACTAGATGGGCCGAATGGTTCTTATCTGCCGTCACATTCTATGTTTCTATGAGCATTCATGTATTTTGTTTCACGAACAGAGACTTTACCGGCTGTTCGTGACACGAATGAGCTACCACCCAGTAGCCCACACACAGAGGGTCGTGTGTCACCCATTAACCGATTGCAACATTGTTGCAATCGGTAGTTAACGGCTTTCCTAGGCGGCCGTCGTTCGGCTACCGACCACGTGGCGGTCGGCCATCTTGGATCCTTTGTTTCACCAGCGTTGTTCGGTCGTCGAGAGCGTGGAGCTGAAATCGGCTACTCTGCTACTTCCAGGCCGTTCGGGAGCTCTGGTCTTTCACTATTCTGGTTCCCCATCAGTGTTCAGTACTTTTAGGCGAACACAATGTTAAAGTGTATTTCGTGCGGCGTTCGGTTATTTAGGCTGGGATCTGAGTGGTATTCTCAAGAAATGTGCGCTCAGACCCCAGCTATCTATCGAACGTCTATTCGTTTGAATAAAGTGAATGATGGCAAAGTTATGTAGTTTAATGTAAAATGTTGGTTCTGCTGCACGGAGGGATAATCCACTTAACGGTATATTCCAGTGGGAGTATCCCTCTCGTCCAGCAGTACCTGATGGGAGAAATGTCCAGGTTGTTAAGTCCCCCATGTAGTCCTCTACTGTATAACCCCTGCAATGTCAGTAGGGAAACCCCTTGCATGGGGACTTGCATAAATACTGTGACCTGTGAATAAAAACTTCAGTTGACTCCCAGAACTGTGTTTCGCCCGGTTACTGGGGGATTTGGGATATTGCCTTACTTTTCAGCACTTTACTTTGGATTACCTTCTGTACCAGCGGAGATCATGGAATTTAATATTGCAGCTCCGCTACATTTACATTACAGTATTTTCACTTACATTGATCTTGTTTCGGTAGTGTGTTAAGCTGCCCTGTTCACTGTCCAGGTTACATTGGATTTGAAAATCATAGCCATTTGCATTCTCTGCTGTCATGGGGATCAGCCTTGCTTTCCGAGCCAACTTGTGATACTCTGTGAGATGTGTTTCTAGCTACAGAGAAAAGAAGAGATGATTTTACCTATACAGTTATAGCAAGATGTCATCTAAAAAAGAGACAAACATGTAAAGGAATCTGTATATTAGGTTTAAAAATGGCAACACTATAAAAGATTTTCAGGACCATAAAACTAAAAAAGTCCTTAACTCTGAACTGATCATATTAACTTATGTTATGTTACTTTTAATTTGATTAAATCTCAGCTAATGTGTGAGGGTAAAAAGAAAAATGCGATAATAGCTGCTGCTGTACACGAGAGAAGGTATCCAGAGGATGAGCTATAATCCTGGTAGCCGTTCTATTGAAAAGGTTCCCAGAGACCTAAGACCAGCCTGGTAACTGGGTCTGAAGTGCTCCAGGTTCCCATGGTAGCGGCGAGGAAGCTGACTTGATTAAAGTACACAGTCGGAGTACAGGAGCTCTGTTACACCCTTTAGAACGTTATTAGCTTAAAATTGTCAGTTTGATACAATGATTATTCTCTGAAAAAGAGGCACTTTAGGCACCTTCACAATATCATGGCAATGAAGTAGTTCAGGTGTCAGGAGGTCAGCCAACTTTCAGGTCTTAAAGCATTAAAGAATAGTTTAACCCCAAAGACTTCAGTCCGGCACGTGTCAGCACTGCCTCCAAACTTCAAATGCAGTCCGAGATCTCAAACTGACGTCAACTGACCCTCTCAGCAGCTCACCGTTCACAAAACACAGTGAAAAGTGCACATAAGGTTCTCACTCCTTTTTGTTAATGGGGAACTACTGATAGGCCGAGAGATTCGGATGATGCTGTCAGCCCATCAGTAGTGTCCCTGTCTGAAGCCTCAGAATGGAATGGAGGTTCGGAGGCAGAGAAGACTTTGGGGTTAAACCTCTTCCACTAAAGTTGTTATGGAGACTAGATGTTCCTTTAAATGTGTAGCTAATATAGGCCTGGGAACACAGAATGAATTGTCACAAATAAACGCACTCTCATCACATACCGTCTCTTTCACTTTGCCGTATTTCAACTCCTCGTTCCACAGATGCTGTTTCTCTTCATCAAGATCTTTTGTCAGTTTGGTAATTGTTTGCTGCAGTTCGTTTTCCTCATATTTTATCCTCTCAATATCAGCTACAGAGTATTTCTGATTTTCCAAGATGGTTTTCAGACGTAGATTTTCCTGCTTGATGGCTTCACTCTCCAGTTCTGCAGAAAGGAAATTGTATTGTGAGCAACACACAAAACAGTAATATCACACAGATTCAAAAAGTCTACACATGTTACAGCTTTATACGGCTTGTGGGCAGCAACTGTCACTTATAACCTGTATGTTCCATATCAGCAAATGAGGCATGTTTAAGATATCCGTAAAGTACTTCTCATCAATGGCTCATCATTCTGAAAGGATTTATGGCTGGTCTTTTAGTAGCTAGACAAATTAACCAATTCCTTTCAATTATGCACAGTTCTCTTACTCCAATATATGGGGGAAGACAGGCGATGCATAGTTCACCAATTTGACAATATCTGTACCTGTAGCATCCAGCTCCTCCGAGATGCCCGCTACGCGCTGGTCCAGGAACGTGGAGTGCGATTCGATCTCTGTGAGATAATTCTGGTACTTTTGGATATCTGCTTGGAGAGAACCTCTCAATTTTCTCATAGATGCCAAACGATCCTAAAATAGATTTTAGCAATCTGCTGTAAATAATTTTTCAGGTACCAATTATGTTATCACAGGCAGTGACTACTCTGATTTTATGGAGCGAGATCGATTTCAAAAAATGAACGATAGGTTCTATAACATAACGTAACAATTATTTCTCTCTGAATGTTCCCTATAAACTCTCAGCCAACCAGAGGTAAGTGTTACAGTTTAGATTTACTCCACAAATAATCTCATTATTCCCGGTTTAATATGAAATTAGTGTATATCTGGAAATTCAGAGTCTATTAAAACTAACCTGGGCTTTAAACAGCTTCGTTACAGAACCAAGAACTAAGTTACAGAAAAATCGAAGGTTTATAAAGCACACTGGTATGCACTCAAACAACCATTTCAATGTCCAGTAGGGATCAGTAGGAGAGCAGTTGGCTCCTGTCGTATCACAGTTTACCTACTATTGGTGAGGGGATCTGTCACACTGAACACTGACAGGGTTAGTTTTTAATCTTCTGGTATGCATATTATAGTAATGCTTATTTGATTTCTACCTTGTAATGTAAAGGAACAGTATAGGGTCAGGAATACAAGCATGTATTCCTGACCGTATAGTGTTACTACCACCATCTAGCTGCCCCTGCTCCCCCCCGCCTCTGCCCTCCCCTCCTCCCCCCGCCTCTGCTTGCCTGCAGCTGCTGTCTGTGCCCCTGATCTGCCTGCTTGGCATCATCAGAAGTGATGATCTCAGCCAATCATAATGTGTTCCCATAGGATTGGCTAAGATTGCTAAGGTGGTAGATCAGGGGCAGTCTCAGTACAAGTCAAACACAGCCCTGGTCAATCAGCATCTCCTCATAGAGATGAATTGAATCAATGTATCTCTATGAGGAAAGTTCAGTGTCTGCAAGCAGGGGGTGGAGACACTGAATGTCATTCACACTGTGCAGCACTGACCCAAGAAGCACCTCAAGTAGCAATCAGAGGAGTGGCCAGTGGAGGCTGTAATGTAAAAATTGCATATTCTCTGAAAATACTGAAAATTCACTGCAAAAAGTCTGAAGGGAATAATTATACTCACCAGAACAAATACAATAAGCTGCAGTTGTTCTGGTAACTATAGTGTCCCTTTAACCCCTTAAGGACCAAACGTCTGGAATAAAAGGGAATCATGGCATGTCACACATGTCGTGTCCTTAAGGGGTTAAGGAGACATTATGTTCCACACCCACTCTAGATGACTGCACTTATTATGGTGCACACAAAAACAAGTGCAGTCCCTGTAGTCAAAGCCAGGTCCCGTCTGTGGCCACTATGATTATGTAAATAGTGGCCGGCTAATGTGAAAGTGGAAGGCCTTCACACGCAGGATGGAAATAAAAGGTTCCATTTACTGGGAAGTAGAACGATCGACTCGATGGACCAAGACATACACAACCATGGGGGTCAATGTGTATCTAGGTTGTAAGGCATTGGCCATGATTAATTAGAATACTTTAATTAAATCCAATAACAAACTACTGACTGATAAGCTATGTAACATGCGGCATCATGGAATCATGATGTGAGTGTTGTACATGGAACCCTGTGGTTAGATTTTAGGAATCATTTTATCTCCATCACATAATGTTAACAAACTGACAGGTTCATTCTCCTTCTCTTTCTCCAGTCGCTCAATCTCTTCTGTCAGCCTCCTGTATTCTGCTTGCAGAGAATCGAGGTTTGAGTCATCCACGCAGTATGCATCTTCTGCAAAAGAAGAAGACATGGCACCAGTTAGAGAGATGGACAAATCACCATCCACGATAATCTCCCCCATGATCAGGAGATCTACCCGCACCAGCCTGCTTGATTATTATTATTTTTTTATTTATATAGCGCCATCAGATTCCGTAGCGCTTGATGTAGGATATGTAACTAGCTCTAAGCTGAACTGTTGCAGGACCGGAAATGGTTGTAAATATATGTTTGCATCCTTTAGCTAATCTGGATGGCATAGTGCTGGGGTCACGATAAAAGGTTACATCTCTCAAACGTTACAGAGGAGGAAAGTAAAGGCATCAATGGCCAAATATATTACTCAGTATCCCAACCTGTACATTGCATTCTTACAGTCACTAACATGTCTTGTGGTAAAGCTGGAGGTTGATAAACCTTAGCAAAACCTTCTGCATTCTGCAAGGGTTACAGCGCTGACACAGCTCCTGGCAGATGAAGCTCCAGGAACTGATGGAAAACGATGGCGGCGCCTGCTGATGACAGCATCGGGTAAGCACAGCTACCTTTTTATTGCAAGGCTGAGCCACCGCACACCTACTGTGGATGTAACAATTGGGAGATTTGCTAAATCTTTTTAGATGAAGAGGCTACGATGCCGCGAGTGTTCCTTTAAAGATCAAAGCATTTGGTCTATACAATGCTAGTAATATGTAATGATTTTAATGTGGTGATCCCACCATGGTGTTGTCATACGGAGGAATGTTTCCACAATGGGGGTGGTTGTTACAATATAACACCCACAGACACTCAGAGAATGGCAGCGATAGAGCATGTGGCTGCGGTGAAGTAATGCAAGAACTGCTCCTTCAGCATTTATCACCATGGCAAGTTATAGATTTACTGCTTTAAGAGCGGCTATAGGTTACATATATCACAGGATGAGATTTTCCAATAGTTTATAGATATTTTACAATTTTAAGCATATTAACCCAGGAGAATCGTATCATTGTTAAATCTACTAAAACATTAACATGTGTGCTACCAGGTTGTGTGTCCAAAGTACTTATAACAGTGCCCGCAGTCAGTCGGACCATATAAAACTCCTACTTACTGAGACGGGAACAGACATCTGCGTCGTTCTCCTCAAACGTGTCTCGACCCTCCATAAACTGCTCATAGCATTTTGTCGTGTACTCCAGAAACATCTGCCAACATAAATCAGGTTGTGAGCACTTGAACACTAGCAAAGTCCTTCAAGATATGCCTCCATGATCATCAAGTGCATTTACAACTGGCCAAAAACACCAGGCACGTCCTTCAAATCAGGTATCTCAAAAACTAGCAAAGTCCTTCACAGCAAGACTACAAGTACCAGTCAGGTCCATCAGAGCATAGGACAGTGCTCACCTATTAGGACCTCTGTGATAGGACATGATATGATTGTGCTGATTGACCCTGGTGTGAAGGAACTCTGAGACTGTTGAGAATACTAACCATCCATGCCTACAAAGATTCACTTTAACAAAAAGTGTTAATATGGGAAGGCAAAGTCAGAAAGGTTGTGAGGTTTATGATAAGCAAACTATTAGAATTTATTGGAAATCATAGAAATGTGTTAAGATTATTTTAAAATAGATTTTACATAATAGTAAGAACTAAAACAAAACAGATATCAAACTAGTGGATCATGATAAAGCACATATGTATATACTTCTAGGGAAAGGACATACCATGCTTTAGACAATACAAGCAGAAAATCTGTATATCAGAGAAGATTGTCTTTTATTGTGGGTTAAATGTCAAGTAAAACAGAAAATGGAACACTAAAGTAGGTTCTGATCCATCGATTATTGGATAGGTTAATACAGCTAACCCTTAAAGTACAAACCCGACATTTATTTTCAGGGCACCTGCTCTTAAAATCATCCTTAACCCCCTAAGGACACAACTTCTGGAATAAAAGGGAATCGTAACGGAATATTTCCGTCATGTGTCCTTAAATAACGTATAAGGAGCAACGGTGCACTTAGGAATAGAGAGTGGTTTGAAAGCATGCAGGAGAAGGTAATGTAACAAGCATTGCAGGACTAAAAGGGAAGTAAGTGAATTCTGTACCGGGTTGAAGTCGATTCCATTCTCGCTCTGTTCTCCCAGGGGTTCTTCAAACATATTGTCTTCAGCTCTCAGCACATAGCTCAGCTAGTTTGGGAAATAAAGAAATATACAAGTGAGGGTACATTCCATCAGAGAACTGGATTTCTCTCTATAACGTTCCCTTAGATGGTGCAATTAATCCTGGCTTATTCAGCTGCAGGTTTCTACTTGCTGTTTCTCTAGGCATCACACTAATGTTAAAAGTAAAGGGAACACCCCCTCCCCCCACACTTTTTTCTCTTTTTTAAAGAAACACTTAACCCCCTATAACTTCATCTCAGTACAGTTTTTAGGGGGCAGGAGTTTTCAGACAGTTTAACCTTGAAGTTTATCTGCCCTTTCTCCTCCTGCGGCCTCCACAGTGATCAGAAAGTTTGCCTGTCAATGAAGTTTGCCTGGCATTGAAATGAACAAGACAGTAAGCTCGTTTGAGCAGGGTCCTCTTCAACCTATCGTTCCTGTATGTTTTCTTGTAATTGTCCTATTTATTGTTACATCCTCCCCTCTCATAATATTGTAAAGCGCTACGGAATCTGTTGGCGCTATATAAATGGCAAAAATAATAACAATAATAATAATAATGTTTAACCCCTTAAGGACCGAGGACGGTTCAGGACCGCCATCGGCATTTTTGCGTTGCCGACCGATGACGGTCCTGAACCGTCCTAACGGTCAGAGCTACTTACCTGATCGCCGTCGTTCCCCCGGCGGCGATCAGCGTGGCTCCGGTTGTGGGGAGACTGCCTGCAGCCCAGACAGTCTCCCCACGGCAGATTAGGACCCCTGTGGCCATGTGATCGCTTAACACAGCGATCACATGGTTACAATAGGTGTCCATGTGTCTGCCTGCAGGGGGACTGTTTGTGCTGACAGGCAGTCTCCCTGCTAGTGTAAAATCAAAAATAAAAATAAAGTTAATGTTAATAAAAAATAAATAAATAATTATATATGTGTATATATGATATATAGACATATATTATATCTATATATGTCTATATATCATATATATAATGCCATACTAAGTGTATTTTTATATTAATATGTACTTATATTAATATAAAAATACACTTATAATTAAATTACACACGTATATATATAATATATATAATAACTATATATATTGTATATATATATTATTATAAAATAAAAATAATAAGTAATTTAAATTAAATAAAAGATTTTTTAAATAATAAAAAATTTAAAAAAAATTATATAGCTGTATGAAATTTTATTCTAACTGTATTTTAAAATTAATATATATATATTTATATCAAAATACACTTCGAATGAATTTGTATATATATCTATGTATATAAAAATAAATAAAAATAATAAGAAATATACATACGTCCATATACAAAATTACATAAATAATTATATAAATATACACGTAGACTTCAAATATATAAATATGCATATATATTTAAATTCTACGTGCGTATTTATGTAATATTTTTACATAATTCAGTAATTTTATTGATTGCAATTTGAGGGACCTGCCTGCCAACCCAGGCCGAAATTCCAGAGAATTTAATTTGCTAGCACTGTATTTTACCCTGTAACTTTCTACGACACCCTAAAACCTGTACATGGGGGGTACTGTTTTACTCGGGAGACTTCGCTGAACACAAATATTAGTGATTCAAAACAGTAAAACATATCACAGCGATGATATTGTCAGTGAAAGTGACTTTTTTTGCATTTTTCACACACAAACAGCACTTTTACTGATGATATAATTGTTGTGATACGTTTTCCAGTTTTTAAACACCTAATATTTGTGTTCAGCGATGTCTCCCGAGTAAAACAGTACCCCCCATGTACAGGTTTTATAGCATTTTTGAAAGTTACAAGGTCAAATATATGGGTCAAATATTTTTACATTGAAAATGGCCAGGTTGGTTACGTTGCCTTTGAGAGCGTATGGTAGCCCAGGAATGAGAATTACCCCCATGATGGCATACCATTTGCAAAAGAAGACAACCCAAGGTATTGCAAATGGGGTATGTCCAGTCTTTTTTAGTAACCACTTGGTCACAAACACTGGCCAAAATTAGCGTTCAATTTAGTTTTTTTACTTTTTTCACACACAAACAAATATGAATGCTTACTTTGGCCAGTGTTTTCGACTAAGTGGCTACTAAAAAAGACTGGACATACCCCATATTGAATACCCTGGGTTGTCTACTTTAAAAAAAATATGTACATGTGGGGTGTTATTCAGAGATTTATGACAGATAATAGTGTTACAATGTCACTATTGATAAATTTTAAAAATGTATGTTTTGAAACCGCAATATCCTACTTGTACCTATAGCCCTATAACATGCAAAAAAAAGCAAAAAAGCACGTAAACACTAGGTATTTTTAAACTCAGGACAAAATTTTGAATCTATTTAGCAGTTTTTTTCATTCGCTTTTGTAGATGAGTAAAAGATTTTTCAAGTAAAAGTCAAAAAACATGTATTTTTTTCAATTTTTCATCAGATTTTTGTATTTTTTTAAAATTAAAATACATGAGATTATATAAATAATGGTATGTAAAGAAAGCCCCTTTTGTCCTGAAAAAAACAATATATAATTTGTATGGGAACAGTAAATGAGAAAGCGGAAAATTACAGCCAAACACAAACACCACAAAAGTGTAAAAATATGCCTGGTCGCAAATGTACAACATCGCAAAAACAGTCCAGTCCTTAAGGGGTTAAAGTAGGGATCGACTGATATTGATTTTTTAGAGCCCATACCGATAACGATAATCTGTGAACTTTCAGGCCGATAGCTTGCCGATATTCTGTACATTTACCATTTTGAAAAAATACAACTATTTCTAAAGGTATATGCACAAAATATGCATGCCAAATGTAATGGATGTAGTGTGTTTAGACAGGGGAGCTGTGTGTGTTTGTGTAGTGGATGCACTGTGTATATAATGAATGCATGGTTTGTTTGTGTAGTGTGTATAGTAAATGCAGAGTGTGTGTGTTTGTATAGTGTGTTAGTGTGTGTATATAATTCAGAGTGTGTGTGTGTGTGTTTGTGTATATAATGCAGAGAGTGTGTGTGTGTGTGTGTGTGTTTGTATAGCGTGTATATAATGAATGCATGATTTGTTTGTGTAGTGTGTATAGTGAATGCAGAGTGTGTGTGTTTGTATCTAATGCAGAGTGTGTGTGTATATAATGAATGCAGTGTGTGTGTGTATATAATGAATGCAGTGTGTGTGTGTGTGTGTGTGTAGTGTGTGTATATAATGAATGCAGTGTGTGTGTGTGTGTGTGTAGTGTGTGTATATAATGAATGCAGTGTGTGTGTGTAGTGTGTGTATATAATGAATGCTGAGTGTGTGTGTGTGTGTGTGTGTGTGTAGTGTGTGTTTCTGAAGGGATGTGATTTGTGTAAAATGGGGGGGTAGTAGGGGGCATTTTTTATTTTAATTTTATTTTTCATAGATTTGTTTTATTTTATTTTTGTAGTCCCCCCCTCCCTGCTTCTTACCAGGGTGGGGATATAGTATTCCCTGGTGGTCCAGTGGCTTGTTAAGTACTGGGGGGGGCGGCAGCAAGCTGTTACCTGCCAGCAGCTCCTCTAGCTCCCATGTCAAATCTTGCGATCTGTGTGCCGCGCTGAGCGTTGCCATTGGTTACCATGGCAACGCTCTGTGGCTGTGGGACTCGCAAGATTTGACATGGGAGCTTGAGAAGCTGCTGAGAGGTAAGTAACAGCTTGCTGCCAGCCCCTCCCAGGACCGCCGGGTTGGTAATGGGCCTGGCGGTCCTGGTATGTATTATCGGCAATATATACCAATATTGCCGAAAATAGTGAATATCGGCCGATAATATCAGTAAAAGTGATAATCGGTTGATCCCTAGTTTAAAGTGCTTATAGTGTCCCTGTATGTAAATTGGTAGCTAGTGATAATTATCGTATGGCTACAGATGAGAGGAAGGTCTGATGGTTGATCTTTAAAATGGATTGAGTTTCTTGGTGACCGGATTAAGTAATAATAAAACAAACATACACCAGTAACCAAAACCCAATATTATTATTTTTTATTTTAAAAGAAAAGTGACACTTTAACTATTACACCTAACACGAAGTGTTGTTTAATTACATTAAATAATATAACCGATCAAGGACACAACGTACCTTAACCGAGTCTGTTAACCAAATGAGCGCTGCAACTATCTGTGGCCAAGTATGAGGGGCCCCTACCGTGTACATGGAGCTTTTGGACAAGGCAAAGGGGTACCTGGAGAAGGGGGAATAAAAAAAATATGGTCAACACATAAACAAAAACAGTAAGTAACTTTCTGGTGATTTAAGGATTTAAGGAAATAGTAAATGAAAGATGCAGGAATGCTTTAAAACATACTAACCCAAGTTCTTTAAAGAGCCTCGGAATCTCCTCCTCAAACTTCGAATCAGGGATTTCATAGCCTGGGCATATAAAACTGTATATAAAAGCAAAGATCTTCAGGAAGTCTTTAGTAGAAGGGCCCTGCAAAGACTTCACTGTTATTGTCTGGGAATAGCCATTTTCATTCAGGAACTAAAATTAAGAAAAAAAAAAGAATGAGATCACATGATCTAGATAAACATAGAGCAGGATGAATTAAGTGCATTTAATGTATAGCTAGGAACATTTAGTGAAAATTATTTATTTCATGTTACCAATGTAATGCTCTGAATCATGAAATAACCAGTCACCTCATAAAACTAACCTTGTGTATGTACAATCCAATGTGGAGTTTAAAGGGATACTAAAAGCAAAATTGCCCTGTGCCATAAGAGGATATCCACTGATCATACCAACCGGCTTACTTGGGTCTGGCAACATGTGTGCCATGCAAGGACACCCCATGTTCTAGCAGAATTGCTCTCTCTAAAATCATACATGTACCTGTCTGTCCAAGAGCACTGTTACACTCAGGGCTGTCTGCACACACAGTATGTTCCTGTCCGAGAGCACTGCTACAGTGAGGTCTGTCTGCACACACAGTATGTTCCTGTCCGAGAGCACTGCTACAGTGAGGTCTGTCTGCACACACAGTATCTTCCTGTCCGAGAGCACTGCTACAGTGAGGTCTGTCTGCACACACAGTATGTTCCTGTCCGAGAGCACTGCTACAGTGAGGTCTGTCTGCACACACAGTATGTTCCTGTCCGAGAGCACTGCTACAGTGAGGTCTGTCTGCACACACAGTATGTTTCTGTCCGAGAGCACTGCTACAGTGATGTCTGCACACACAGTATGTTTCTGTCCGAGAGCACTGCTACAGTGAGGTCTGTCTGCACACACAGTATGTTTCTGTCCGAGAGCACTGCTACAGTGACTGTCTGCACACACAGTATGTTCCTGTCCGAGAGCACTGCTACAGTGAGGGTTGTCTGCACACACAGTATGTTCCTGTCCGAGAGCACTGCTACAGTGAGGGATGTCTGCACACACAGTATGTTCCTGTCCGAGAGCACTGCTACAGTGAGGTCTGTCTGCACACACAGTATGTTCCTGTCCAGAGCACTGCTACAGTGAGGGATGTCTGCACACACAGTATGTTCCTGTCCAGAGCACTGCTACAGTGAGGGATGTCTGCACACACAGTTTGTTCCTGTCTGAGAGAACTGCTACACTGAGGGATGTCTGCACACACAGTATGTTCCTGTCCGAGAGCACTGCTACACTGAGGGTTAACTGCACACAGTATGTTCCAGTCTGTCTGAGCATACAGTATGTTCCAGTCTGTCTGAGCATACAGTATGTTCCAGTCTGTCTGAGCATACAGTATGTTCCAGTCTGTCTGAGCATACAGTATGTTCCAGTCTGTCTGAGCATACAGTATGTTCCAGTCTGTCTGAGCATACAGTATGTTCCAGTCTGTCTGAGCATACAGTATGTTCCAGTCTGTCTGAGCATACAGTATGTTCCAGTCTGTCTGAGCATACAGTATGTTCCAGTCTGTCTGAGCATACAGTATGTTCCAGTCTGTCTGAGCATACAGTATGTTCCAGTCTGTCTGAGCACCGCTACACTGAGGGCTGTCTGCACACACAATTTGTTACTGTCTGTCCGCAAGCACTACTACACAGAGAGCTGTCTGCACACACAGTTTGTTACAGTCTGTCTGAGAGCACTGCTACACAGAGAGCTGTCTGCACACACAGTTTGTTCCTCATATGAATGGGTTCTGTTCAGCTCCTGAACAGGGACCACCCTGACACCTCATTTAGAATGTCTATGTAGAAAGTTCACACCTCGTAACGAGGTGTGAAAACTGCAAGGGAAACAAGCAGCGCGTGCTTCCCCTGGGTGGCCACCGGTTCACATACCCGAACGCCAACCAGGGGCACCATTTGTATCCCGAACCGGCATACACACACTGTCTCAGGTCACCGTGTTGGGGATTGCCCTATCTGCTCCTTACTGAGCTATAATCACTGCGTACCCCCATGGCAAGACAGAGGTGCGAGCCAGCAGGGAATTCCTGGAGCTGTGAGTCAGTCTCACAGCCGCAGAGTATGTTCCTGTCCGAGAGCACTGCTACAGTGAGGTCAGTCTGCACACAGACTGACCGCCTGGAAGTCTGGCCACCTAGAAGTCTGTGCCAAGTAATGGGAGAAGGAGCGCCCATTCAAACTGGGTTTGAGCTATTCTCCTGGTTGGTCGGCACGAGTGAGTGCTGATAGGTCGCTGCAGGGCGCAGGCGACCAATCAGAGAAGGAGCGCTCGTTCGAATGGGCATTTGTGCCCTTTGTGTGACCCCTCCCCGGGTCGCCGAGCCCCAAAGATTACCCATCTGTATGGAATATGTGCTAATGTGTGTCCCTGTGTAATGTTGGTATCTCCCAGAGCCACAACCTAACCCCCTCCTGCCAGGATTGTCCTAAAGCTGCGTGCTTCAATAAAGGAGTGTCAGAGTGTTTTAACCTCCAGAACTATGTTTCATCTGGTTACTGGAGGGAGGGAAAATGTAACCCCTGTGTCTGCTCTTACAGCTTGCAGGGGATGCAACGGGGAAAGTCCTTGTAAGGACTAAGAGCTTCCAGGACTGAAAGCCATCCAGCCCTGGGAGCACATGGAGCTAAGTCCTCTAACCCTGTAAGAGTTCCTGATCAGCTGAAGAACGGGAACTAGTGGAGGTAACTGGTCGGGTTACCGGGTGTCCCGCTACATTATTAAATGTAATAAACTTTAAAAAAAAAAATTATAATTTTGATGACAGTTGTCCTAACAATCAGGAAGTCAAATCATTTTATAGTTTCACTATCCTCGCAGTTGCCAAAATGTAATGGGAATGTATAATGTGTCTAATGTAATGCTGCAAAGAGATGGGGATACCAGGGGCAGCTGCAGGCTGGGTTTCCTTCTAAATGAATAAAGCATTAAGTGTTACCAGAAAATCAACGTACATCTCTGAACGCAAAACAAGGAGACAATTAGTAAAAGGAAAACATAATGGAGAAATGTTACTGAGAAACCAAATGGGATTGATTTTACCTCACAGAGCTGGCGTATACATTGCTGGATAAACGACTTGTCGTGTAACGGTCTTGTATCTTTGATTTTCTCAGTGCCACTGAATGCGCCATACTGACTATTTCGGGCTACCCCAGTACTCGCTCTGTGGGAGAACATACACACCCTATTAAAACAGAACTTGCAACACGCACACAAAAAAATAAAAAATAAATCCAAAATTAAAAAGAATTAAAAATCCCTGATTTAATAATCACATATAAACTATATGAAGAGGATAGATAACAATGGACCATGAATAGATTAGTCTAATATGGTCTGACATATATCTGTGGTTGTATTTCCCTTTTTATGTCCACACGTGAGCATTTCACTTTAAAAAAAAAAAAAAAAAAAGAAAGGAAAGCTACATCTAAACCCAAGCATCTTATCTGCCCGGAGTGTAATTTGCCTTTACCAGATGATGGCTTTAGAAACAGAAATTTTCACTCACCTTAAATTATTATTATTATTTTTTTTTTTTTAAATATGGTGGCAGTACGTATGGGTTGTGCTTCCTAATTGGGACAAGCATCTGCAAGATAGGTGATTAAGAAAAGTCCCTCCCCTTTACCCTATAAAGAGCTTCCCAGGCAAACCCACCTCAGTCATAGCAAGAATACACACTTAAGTCACACACTGTAAGCAAAACAGTAATTTAGATTTGTACTGCCACCATATTAATTTACGGTGAGTAAAAATGTCAGTTTTTTTCCTGACACACGGTGGCAGTACGTATGGGATATAGCAAGATTGACAATCGGGTGGGGCTTATGCCTAAACAAGTTGAAGAACCTACACCCTAACGCAATTTTAGAGGCAGAGAGTGAGTCTAGCCTGAAAATACTGGACGTTTTGTAAGGTGCTAAAAGCTGACCAAGATGCAAAAATGCCGATTTCTTAGGGTGAAGCAAGAGTTTTTCTCTGCCCACGAAGTGGCCATTGCCTTTGTGGAATGCGCTGTGAAAGACACTGGCAAATCAAACTAGTGAAGCATAGGCCATTATAATTGACGAAATAACGAGAAACAGAATTACGAAAGGCTTCATTCCCCTTAAAACTTTCTTAGAAGTTGACAACAGGTTATCTGATCTTCTGAATTTGGCTGATATTGATAGGTACATCTGAAATGCCCTTTTTTAACTCTAGAATATGCCATCTAGTTCCAGCAGGGAGGTGGCATAATTATTGAAGGATGAGCTGATTAACAGCTCTAAAAGATAACTCTTGAAGAATTGAAGTTTTAGGATGAAACACAACTTTAACCCTGATGGAATATAAGAAATTCCACTGAAGAAGATATATCCTGAAGCTCGCTTACTCTCTTGGCCACTCTTGGAGGTAATGGCCACTAGCAATGCTGGTTAATCTTTAGCATATTAAAAGGAACCATCTCCAAAGTAAAATGGAGCCTGAAAGACTGAAGAGGGAGGGAAACAGAACTTTCTGGGTGGCCTAAGAAGCCTATTGCCTAAAAGAAACTTCTAACCAGTATACACGAAGACCCATCCCTTCTCAGAATTAACTTAGGGAATACAATTTGGTCTTAACGTGGAAATCTCATGCAGGAAGTGTAAATTTGAACCAACCGGACAAATAAACTAGAAGACAACAATGTAGATACTCTACCCAAATCCTCATGAGGCGGAATGACTAAAACAGGGATAGGCAACCTTTGGCACTCCAGATGTTGTGGACTACATCTCCCATAATGCTCTTACACACACACAATACTGGCAAAGCATCATGGGAGATGTAGTCCAAAACATCTGCGGTGCCGAAGGTTGCCTATGCCTGGACTAGAAGATTATACGCAACAAGAGGACTCTGACTCATGAAGACTCAGGAGATGAAGGATCCACCATGCAGTGCCCTACCGTCAATAAGAACCTATTCAACATTGCCAGCAAGATATCCTGTCTTCCAAACTTGAAAGTCATCTCCACTTAGGCCGACAACTGGCTCGTATTTGGCCAGTACAAAAAGATTGGCAGACCCACTGCTCTGTCCGTTACCTCTTTGAAGAAGTCTTGGGAACAGTCAATATGAGAAAAAATGTAAGCCCGGAGAAATACCTTTAGATAGATAGACCAACTATTCAACGTGAACTAACTGTCCTGTACAGAGAGGCAAACCCGAGAAGCGTCATGTTCTCCCTCTTTGCCATACCGTCTATCCAGGCACTCCAAATCTCTCTGTAGACCGTGTACATGATCGCATCTATAGACTCTTAGTCTTGATCCCAATTTCTTGTGCCAAGGTTGTAGGTGATGACATTGTCGACACATTATGAGTGGAATGGAGAGAGGACCTCCCAGAGATCCTGAGCCCAGTACACCGTTTTAGTACATAGCTGAAACAGACCTTGCCTCTGGCACTGCCCTGTCGTGGTCTGACCGCATTGTAATAGGTCCCTTATTCAACCAAGATCTGAATCGGTGAGGAGAGTGAAGAACTGCCTTAAGAGCTCTGAAATTAGTGGAATATTTTTCTTAGGACCAAGAATGCTGGCACAGAGAATTTAGACGAGCGACCCATCCTGTGTTAGATGCATTCTGTGGTGAAATGTACTCATTCTATAGGCAGAAAGGACAGCTTCCACTTTTTTCAAAGAGAGTCTAAGAGACAGAAATCCAAGATTTCCACACTTTGACCCAGAGGAGTGAATTTTCCACTGTAGCGGCCAAATCCAGATTTTGCCCAGTTGACCGCAGGAATTGAAGATGTCAGACATCCCAGCAATCTCCTTTCCTGTCCTTACGGAGGAATTTTCACTTTATTGGACCTTACCTTTATGAGTGCAGTGGTAACGTTTTAAGGTTAACATGAACCTCAAAAAACCCTATGTTTCCTGGAGAAGAAGAAAATACTTTGTAGTCTCTGTATCCAACCATGTTGCTGTAGCGCTCTGCTAGCTACCCGAACATACTTAAAGGACGAACGTCCTGATTAGCAATAAGGAGCCAAACTCCCAAGTAGGGAATGCCTCGTTCCCTAAAATATGCTATTATGGGAGTGTTTTGAAGAGCAATAAAATCTCTACCATCCATGTATTATGGCGTATTTTCAGAAAACGTCTTGAAGGGGCCGCAATAGGGATATGTGGGAATATATCTCTGTGAGCTATATACACCACGAAATTCCTTTCTGCAGAATCAGAGTTTCAGAAGTTTCAATTCATAATTGGTTTAAAGGAATGATCCGAGTTTGATAACCAGGTGATTATTGAGGAACCCAACGAACTTTGTGGTTCACAGAACCATTTCTCAAACTCCTTCAATCCATCTGTACTGTTACAACTGCAAAATTTATGACGGCAAACCAAAAATAAAGAAATGTAAAAATTAAAAACTCCTTGAATCCAACAGGAACACTATTTCTGTAAATAGAGTATCAGATATTCGGAAGATTATAGATTGGGAAGATTTGAAGAGAGCAAGCAGTGCCCTCTTTAACTAGATCAAGCAACCAGTGATTGCAAGTAGGTTCCACTTAAAAGCCAGGCAAGAGACATTAAGATAAATACTGGTTCCCAAATGCATCATGGGAACGTTAAAGGACCACTATAGGCACCCAGACCACTTCAGCTCAATTAAGTGGTCTTGGTGCCAGGTCCATCTAGGGTTAACCCTGCAGCTGTAAACATAGCAGTTTCAGAGAAACAAGTTTGTTTTCCAGGCACTGTAGTGGTCTTTTAGGTCACTCCATTGAATGGTACTCCAGTCATCTACCTCAAAGTGAGTCAACAATGCATGGGGAGCGAACCTGTGAACCCCAAGGGTTGAACAAGGTTTAAACCCACTGAGCTATACACACTTAGTATAGAAATGCAGGATTACGCCTCCAAGCTTCCTGACGTCCGAAACGCCTACCCATGTCGGAACTAGTTTAACTTGTGTTGAGGCAGAGCTTTTCATTGTCAAATTTTATTAGTTAAATCCATATAAAATATGTGACAATCACAAATAAAACAGGAAACTGACAAGCTGCTTCTCAGGAAATTTAAATAACCTCCATTAACGATTGTAAACAAAGTTATACGTTTTGGACACCGCTGCACCGGCCAGCAAAGACCCATACCGAAACCCAGCTGTAACGGCACCACCAGGCATAAAAGGAGTTAAAGCCGTTTAGTAGATATTCCCCCTTCCAGATATACAGGCAGCTACTGTAGACACCAGTCCACCGAACCGGAGAAGCATATGAATGCCGTAAATAGCCAAACCGGAACCATACGAATGCTGTAAACAACCGAATAGGAAAAACCATACGAATAGGTTTACACTCATAGCAGTCAAACTGCAACAGCATACAATAAATCCCCCCAAGAACGAGACAAAGCTCAGTGTTGAGGGTCAAGCAGGAACAGACAGAGCTGTGGGTTTATTGTTCTTATGTACACATTCTTACACATTAGTACCACCCACAGGGTTTTGGAAAACAACCAATAAACACATACAATACACTCAGACTGTCCCACACAAAATCATCCCCTCTGCCTGTGATACAATTACCTTACACAATGGATAATGTAATTATCACAGGCAGAGAAATACAGTTTTTCCACATTATTCATAACTTTAGAAGTATGCATCACATTTACATTTTCAGAATCAGCATACTCCAAATACAAACATATGTCAAAATCATCCAAATTGGGCCATTGGTTCAAAAGATAGATCGAAGTCCTTTGTGACCAAATGAAGCATGGCTTTTCTGCCCAAAACCAGTTCCACAGAGTCTTCTATCCTGGAGATAATTGGGAAGTAATCCAATTATCTCCCAGGACAGAGGCAAAACTCCATTAGTCACATGGTAGCAAAATATAGTAAAATACAATAAAATACACAAGGTTACATTTATTACATAAAATACAGACATGCAACATATAGAGATGTCGCGAACCGTCCGCGAACTTCTCGCGAACGGTTTGCGGCAAACTCCGGTCAGCTGACACGTCCCGGCCAATCTCCAGCAGACCCTCCCTCCCAGACCCTCCTACTTCCTGGACAGCATCCATGTTTCAACATGGATGCTGTCCAGGAAGTAGGAGGGTCTGGGAGGGAGGGTCTGCTGGAGATTGGCCGGGACGTGCATGGATGCTGTCCAGGAAGTAGGAGGGTCTGGGAGGGAGGGTCTGCTGGAGATTGGCCGGGACGTGTCAGCTGGCCGGAGTTCGCCACGAGCTGTTCGCGAGAAGTTCGCGACATCTCTAGCAACATATCCCCAGATAGCTTAGGTCTGAGCGCACATTATTACTGAATGGCGCTCAGACCATGTAGCGGAAAGGCAGTATAATCCGCAATATCTCCGCTGGTAGACAGGAGCAGCATATAATAATCCCGGTAGCGTTCTACAGATCCTTCCTTCCCAAGAACTAGACGACACATAGGCTGGGAGTCAACTGAGGTTTTAATCACATGGATGAAACATGGATGCTGTCCAGGAAGTAGGAGGGTTTGTGAGGGAGGGTCTGCTGGAGATTGGCCGGGACGTGTCAGCTGACCGGAGTTCGCCACGAGCTGTTAGCGAGAAGTTCGCGACATCTCTAGCAACATATCCCCAGATAGCTTAGGTCTGAGCGCACATTATTACCGAATGGCGCTCAGACCATGTAGCGGAAAGGCAGTATAATCCGCAATATCTACGCTGGTAAACAGGAGCAGCATATAATAATCCCGGTAGCGTTCTACAGATCCTTCCTTCCCAAGAACTAGACGACACATAGGCTGGGAGTCAACTGAGGTTTTAATCACAGGTTACAGTTACATGTGGTTCCCCATGCAAGGGGTTTCCTTACTGACTTTACAGGGATTGTACAGTAGGGGACTACATGGGGAACTTAACAACCAGAACATTTCTCCCACCATGCACTGCTGCACGAGAGGGATACTCCCACTAGAATATCCAGTTAAGTGGATTATCCCTCTGTGCAGCAGAACTGGCTTTTTACATAAAAATCTATAACTAACATTATTCGTGCTATTATAGCGAATGACCGTTCGGCAGATAGCTGGGGTCGGAGCCCATACTTCGTAAAAGTACCGCTCAGATCCAAGCACAATTAGCCGAACGCCGCACGAAATGCACTTGAACACACATTCTTCACAAAGTCCCAAATACACATACAGAGATAAAAGTACCGAAAGACCGGGGCTCCCGAACGGCCTGGAAGTCCAGCGGTATTCGTGCCGTCGAGTAGCCGATTTTAGTTCCAGGCACTCGACGACCAAATACCGCTGGGCTAACAAAGGATCCAAGATGGCCAGTATCCGAACGGCGGCCACCTTTAACATCTATTAACTGCTGAAAGATACATTGTTGCAATCCTTGATGGGAGCCACACGACAGTGGTTAAAGTCATTGTTCATGAAACTACTGCATGAATGCTGGTGGCTATCGTGCCGTCAGCATACGAATGCTCTCGTTCACATAAAATATAAAATAGAGAACATGGACAGTTTAGGTAGTCTTAAAGCCACAATATCATACAAACTTAAATACAGTCTTAGTGGGAAATATAGTTTGAAGTGGCTAGGTTTGCCACAGACCACACACATACAGTTCAATTGCCATGGAGCCAAAGTCTTTTATTACACGAATAGGCTCCATGGCATAGCTATCTGGGTTAAATGAGTTCATTCAGTAAATCCGAGAAACTACCGAACGCCAGGGCAGAAATACATAAATAGACCTTTCTGCATAGGAAAATAAAGTATTTAAATGCCAGTCCATAGTCAAAAGGCAGCAGGCAGGCAACCAGGCTCCTCCAATGCACAGTGGCGATATTGGTTCCGCCACACCAGCTGTCTGGAAAGATCGTCTACAAGAGGTCTCAGCCTTCTTGACGACAGGGTTTTAAAAGCAGCTACTTCTGCAGAATTTTATGGATTCCCAGTGTACCTGGAGGTGTAACATTTACCCGTTTGATGGTAAACATTAAATGTCAACAGGAAAGGCTTGTTACACAGAGTGTTCCCATTTCTGAATATAAGAAAAAGACACAGGGTTTGAGGAACAGAGAACACTCATTAAAGTTTACCAGATTTATCCTGCCCCGTGACCGATTCATTCCTTATGAACCTTCTCAGTACATAAAGTGGGAACCAACTCTACACAGTATGATGAACCAGACATGTCTTAAGAAGAGGTAGATAAACATTCGCCAGACATTAGAAGTAATTGAAGGACGCTTCTCTTCGGTACCTCCGGAACATCTCAGGCAGAGCAGCTGACACACTATTTGATTCTCTATAAGAATTCAAAGATAGGAATGATTGCATATTCTCTGCTTAAACTTTACCCAAGAAATTGCAGCCCCTTGGTCATATTTATAAACCCCAGAACCATATTAAGGGGAGTAGCACAGATACAGTAAGCAAAAGCCTTGCATAGCAGAGGCATTCCACGGTTTACAAACAGTCCATTTTCTGCAAAACAGTTCCATCCATAACTTACAATTTTAATCAGAACAGATTTTCAAGGCAAAGATCAGCTAATCTTACCTTGAAAACCTCTGATCTGTGTGGGGGGTTGGTGACACGGGAAACTCTTGTGACACGCTTCCTGCTGCCAGAGGGAACAGCACAGAGACGCGCACTCGGCGGTTTCCCAGAAGTTCCAGTTCGCGCATGTGCAATAGCACCCCCGGAGCTTTGGTGGAACACAACACCTCCGGGCGTGCGTTCCACTGTTGTGCGCAGACGCATTGCCTGCAACATGATGAAGGCGTCCCCGGCCCGCCCATACTCACCAAGCCAGAACATACTCGGCGCAAAGTTAAAGGACCACTCTAGGCACCCAGACCACTTCAGCTTAATGAAGTGGTCTGTGTGCCAGGTCCAGCTAGGGTTAACCCATTTTTTCTATAAACATAGTTTCAGAGAAACTGCTATGTTTATAAATGGGTTAATCCAGCCCTCAATTCCTCTAGTGGCTGTCTCATTGACAGCCGCTAGAGGCGCTTGCGTGATTCTCACTGTGAAAATCACAGTGAGAGCATGCAAGCGTCCATAGGAAAGCATTGTAAATGCTTTCCTATGCGACCGGCTGAATGCGCGCGCAGCTCTTGCCGCACGTGTGCGCATTCAGCCGAATGGGCAGAGAGGAGGAGGATCGGAAGAAGAGAGCTCCCCGCCCAGCGCTGGAAAAAGGTAAGTTTTAACCCCTCTCCCCTTTCCAGAGCCGGGTGGGAGGGGGTCCCTGAGGGTGGGGGCACCCTCAGGGCACTATAGTGCCAGGAAAACGAGTATAGTGGTCCTTTAAACAGAAAGGGGCTACGAAACTTCTACGGAGCCATGCCGCTCAGACTACCACCCGGGCGGCTAGAGGGGTTCAATCCCCAGACAGCAACCTGTGTGACTCACCTCCAACAGACGCTTGGTCCGTCCCGTGCTGGAACAAGGAAGAACTGGTTTTGCCAGGGAAGCCCTTTATAGAGTAAAGGGGAGGGACTTTTCTTAATCACCTATCTTGCAGATGCTTGTCCCAATTAGGAAGCACAACCGGTACGTGCTGCCACCATATGTCAGAAAAAGAAACATTTACCCTACTGAGGTAAGGTATCAACCGAAGCTGCTACGAAATCTAAAAATGACGCATTTACGCCATGTTTTGCGACACACACACAAAATCTGACAGTTCATGTTGTGACAAGCGCAACGTTACAATGTTGGGTTTATTCATTAGGGATGCAGTTAAAAAGAGGTTATAAAATAACAGTACCTTTTCCCAAAGAAGCTGATCTTGCGCTCTGATGTCCCAGAATGCGGTTTGGTTGTTGCAAGTTTACCAAAACCTTGCCGATCTTTGCTGGAGAAGGATAAACAAAAATAAAGTATAATATAGTTAATAAGAGAAGGGGCCAGAAATAAGCCAGGGTAGATTTTACCTATTGGTCCTTGGACAAATCCATATTAACAAGAACCAGAACAAGCAATGAGCGGGTAAGTATTCACCCCCAATAAGTATGCCATGAATTGCAGTGGTGAGTAACATTGAAAGCCTGGCTAGCAGCATTCCATCCATGCATTGTGCAGCCAAATCCCCATAGAACGTAGAGGTAACAGAACATGTAAAGTTGCTCTGTCACTTCTTTTGACATCGTGTTTGGTGTGAGGTGGCTGGTTGGTGCAGTAGAGGAGAGTTATACTTACCAGGTGCTTTCCCTTATAAAAGACAGTGTTGTTCCTACTTTTAGTATTACGTTTTATTATATTTGTAGGGTCTGTTGGTTTTTAACGGACTGGTAATTAGAAGTGGTGAAAGTAAACAGATTTCAAAATAGTTTATCATTCCAACTGATCAAGTCTGATTGCGGTTTATATTATAGTTTCTAAATTTATTGTAAGCCCTTTCTTATGAAAAATAAAACACCATGCCCTTTGCCAATTTTTTTTTTTTTTTTTTTTAAAGATACATCCTTGGTCTGTGTGATTTCTTATTGAATATAAGGTTTAAAAAATAAATAAAAAATATTGCCTACCATGCAAACGTTATCACAGTCTTCATGGGCATTTCATATTTATGAAACGCTCCATATTTGTGTATTACAGAGCCACTGTAATACTTAACACTCAAACATGATTATCTTTATAAAAATGTATCAAGTACACCGTCTGTCAGAATGATGAGTGTAAAATGGCAAACCTTGCAGAACAATGACAGAACTCGCCATTAATGTTAGAAATAGTCAACCTCTACTGTAGGAAAATAACCTACTTCTGGGGTGTAGTAAGCCCGACCCGGTTAGTATCTTGCACACGCAGTGGCAATAGGGATTGCCTATTGGTTACTGAACTTCTTCTCATTTTGTCTGCAAAAATGAAGAGAAAAAGATAATTCTTAGAATATTAATATGTAGACTATATTCCAGTTATCATATTGAAGCACAATCTCTTTATAGTTTAGTATGAAGTAATAAAAAAAAAGTAGATTTCGAAAAAAAAAAAAAAACAGAAAATTTCACTTGAAAAAATAAAAATCGATTTAAGGGAGTAGAATATCTATTTTTAATAATGTGATCAGGGAACTCACTGTTAGAAATACAATCTCACATATTAATGGATTACTCAATGCACCAAGGCCATCTCAATGATTTGAAATGATCATGGTGCCTGGAGTTTGTATGTGCAGCGTTTCACCATGCGGATTTTATCCCTTCTGCTGCTGGGGGTGTAATGTAACCATGACTGAGTCGTAGGGGCGTCATTGAACACCCTGGAACCAGAGTTCTGGGATGCCGAATATCAAATCTGTGCATTCTTCAAAGCACAAATGCTCATTCAAGGGTTGAGAGCAGTGAGCTGGATAGGTATCAAGATTCTACAGCTCTGGAAAAGACAGATGTTGTAAACCTGCCAACAAAGGAGTCCAGCACCCTGGTGGGACCCAGGTAAGAAGCTAAACAGTTCTAAAACAGATTGACTCCTCACAGGGTAAATTAGCACAGAAGGTGCCAGAGAGATGGCCAAAGCACTGCCCCTCAGTCAGCACAGAAGGGTTAATCCATAGCGCCACCACAGGGGTCTCCCCGACTGACTGCTCTTGGTGTGCCCACTCTCTTTCCCCAGGACTCACCGATCTCTGTCTGTCTGTCTGTCTCCCCAGGACTCACCGATCTCTGTCTGTCTGTCTGTCTCCCCAGGACTCACCGATCTCTGTCTGTCTGTCTGTCTGTGTCCCCAGGACTCACCGATCTCTGTCTGTCTGTGTCTCACCAATCTGTCCGTGTCTCTCTCTCTGTCAGTCTGTCTCTCTCTGTCAGTCTCTCTCTCTCTCTCCCTCTGTCAGTCTGTCTCTCTCTCTGTCAGTCAGTCAGTCAGTCTCTCTGTCAGTCAGTCAGTCAGTCTGTCTCTCTGTCAGTCAGTCAGTCAGTCTGTCTCTCTGTCAGTCAGTCAGTCAGTCTGTCTCTCTGTCAGTCAGTCAGTCAGTCAGTCTGTCTCTCTGTCAGTCAGTCAGTCAGTCAGTCTGTCTCTCTGTCAGTCAGTCAGTCAGTCTCTCAGTCAGTCAGTCAGTCTGTCTCTCTGTCAGTCAGTCAGTCTCTCAGTCAGTCAGTCAGTCTGTCTCTCTGTCAGTCAGTCAGTCAGTCTGTCTCTCTGTCAGTCAGTCAGTCAGTCAGTCAGTCTGTCTCTCTGTCAGTCAGTCAGTCAGTCAGTCAGTCAGTCTCTCTGTCAGTCAGTCAGTCTGTCTCTCTGTCAGTCAGTCAGTCAGTCTGTCTCTCTGTCAGTCAGTCAGTCAGTATCTCTGTCAGTCAGTCAGTCTGTCTCTCTGTCAGTCAGTCAGTCTCTCTGTCAGTCAGTCAGTCAGTCTCTCTGTCAGTCAGTCAGTCTGTCTCTCTGTCAGTCCAGTCAGTCAGTCTGCCAGTCTCTCTCTCTCTGTCAGCCAGCCGCCAGTCTGTCTCTCTGTCAGTCAGTCAGCCAGTCTGTCTCTGTCAGTCAGTCAGTCTGTCTCTGTCAGTCAGTCTGTCTCTCTGTCACGGGTCTGTCTCTGTCAGTCAGTCTGTCTCTGTCAGTCAGCGTCTGTCTCTGTCAGTCAGTCTGTCTCTCTGTCAGTCAGTCTGTTCCTCTGCTGTCAGTCTGTCTCTCGCCCAGTCAGTCAGTCAGTCAGCTCCGTCTCTGTCAGTCAAGTCAGTTGCCCGTCTTCTGTCAGTCAGTCTTCTTGCCGTCAGTCTCTCTGTCAGTCAGTCTCTGTCAGTCAGTCAGCCAGTCTGTCTCTCTCTGTCAGTCAGTCAGCCAGTCTGTCTCTCACGTCAGTCAGCCAGTTCGTCTCTGTCAGTCAGTCAGTCAGTCTGTCTCTGTCAGTCAGTCAGTCAGTCTGTCTCTCTGTCAGTCAGTCAGTCAGTCAGTCTGTCTCTCTGTCAGTCAGTCAGTCAGTCAGTCTGTCTCTCTGTCAGTCAGTCTCTCTGTCAGTCAGTCAGCCAGTCTGTCAGTCTGTCTCTCTGTCAGTCAGTCTCTCTGTCAGTCAGTCAGCCAGTCTGTCTCTCTGTCAGTCAGTCAGCCAGTCTGTCTCTCTGTCAGTCAGTCAGCCAGTCTGTCTCTCTGTCAGTCAGTCAGTCAGTCTGTCTCTCTGTCAGTCAGTCAGTCAGTCTGTCTCTCTGTCAGTCAGTCAGTCTGTCTCTCTGTCAGTCAGTCAGTCAGTCGCTCTCTCTGTCAGTCAGTCAGTCAGTCGCTCTCTCTCTCTGTCAGTCAGTCAGTCAGTCGCTCTCTCTCTCTGTCAGTCAGTCAGTCGCTCTCTCTCTCTGTCAGTCAGTCAGTCGCTCTCTCTCTCTGTCAGTCAGTCAGTCGCTCTCTCTCTCTGTCTGTCAGTCTCTCTGTCAGTCTGTCTCTCTGTCAGTCTGTCTCTCGGTCAGTCTGTCTCTCTCTCTCTGTCAGTCTGTCCCCAGGACTCACCGATCTGTCTGTCTCTGTGTGTGTCTCTCTCTGGATCCTGCTGAAAATTCAAATCCGGCGCCTAACGGTCGCTACACCCAGCAACCATTACGTCACCCCCTCGCGCCAGCATCTTACAGTCAGTAAAATGGCCGCTCTCACTCTGCGCACGGCTATGACGCCACCGTGAGCTGTGTTGTGATTGGGCGGATCGGCGCCATGTTGCTACTCCGGAAGTCCTAGCTTGGGGGGCGGAAGTGGCCAGATTGCTGTGTTTGGAGAGGGACCATGGCAGACGAAGATGAAGATCAGACGGTGAGTACACTGTCAGCTTAGACATGGGGGGGGGGCACGGCACACTGTCGGTGTAGACAATTGGGGTACTGGGGTACACTGTTGGTATAGACATGGTGGCAGTGCTGACAGAGACACTTACCCCCTCTCCCTCCTGGGGAAGACACGGACAGCTCTGGCTACTGGAGTACACTGTCAGTATAGACATGGGGGTACTGGGGTACACTGTCAGTATAGACATGGGGGTACTGGGGTACACTGTCAGTATAGACATGGGGGTACTGGGGTACACTGTCAGTATAGACATGGGGGTACTGGGGTACACTGTCAGTATAGACATGGGGGTACTGGGGTACACTGTCAGTATAGACATGGGGGTACTGGGGTACACTGTCAGTATAGACATGGGGGTACACTGTCAGTATAGACATGGGGGTACTGGGGTACACTGTCAGTATAGACATGGGGGTACACTGTCAGTATAGACATGGGGGTACACTGTCAGTATAGACATGGGGGCACTGGGGTACACTGTCAGTATAGACATGGGGGCACTGGGGTACACTGTCAGTATAGACATGGGGGTACTGGGGTACACTGTCAGTATAGACATGGGGGTACTGGGGTACACTGTCAGTATAGACATGGTGGCAGAGGGGAACATTTTGTGATTCTGAAATGTGAATGTGATGCATACTTCTAAAGTTATGAATAATGTGGAAAAACTGCATTTCTCTGCCTGTGATAATTACATTATCCATTGTTTAAGGTAATTGTATCACAGGCAGAGGGGAGGATTTTGTGTGGGAGTGTCTGAGTGTATTGTATGTGTTTATTGGTTGTTTTCCAAAACCCTGTGGGTGGTACTAATGTGTATATAAGAACAATAAACCCACAGCTCTGTCTGTTCCTGCTTGACCCTCAACACGGAGCTTTGTCTTGTTCTTGGGGGGATTTATTGTATGCTGTTCCAGTTTGACTACTAGTAGTGTAAACCTATTCGTATGGTTTTCCAGTTTGGCTGTTTACAGCATTCGTATGTTTGAGAGCATTCATATGCTTCTCTGGTTCGGTGTATTGGTGTCTACAGTAGCTGTGCCTGTGTCTCTGGAAGGGAAGATCTACTAAATGGCTTTTAACCCCTTTTTATGTCTGCGGGTGCCATTACAATTGGTGGCAAGCGGCGGGATCATTCCCACAGCCCAGAAGGACAGCTACAAGGCAACACCAGTTCCTGGATTACAAATTAAGGGCAACGCTAGTACCCGTACAGCGCCCCTACCTACAAAAGAACTAACTTAAGCAGCGCAAGCATGGCGCCCAGTTACAGTCAGGAGCAGTTTGACAGAGGGGTCAATGCGGTGCTGACTCACTTTGGACCCAATCCCTCGGAGAGATACGTGCAGTACGTGAAGAAAATAGATTTGGCCCCAGGGAGCCAAAGGTGTTGTCCTTCCTCTCCAGCGGCAGAGTAAGTTACAGGGAGCCAAAGGTGTCGTCCTTCCTCCCCAGCGGCAGAGTGTGTCCTTAGGAGAGGAGACAGTGGGTCCCTCTCCCCAGCAGTCCAGTGAGTCCCAGGGAGACAAAGGTGCCGTCTGTAGCGGAGAGCTGGTATTTCACAGGTTATCTCCACTAAAGATCCCAGTGAGGCTCAGGAACAAGCAACACAATCCCATAGAACAATAGTCACAGCAAGCAAGGTATAATTAAAGTTCTCTTACAAAGATTTGTATAGAGAGATAGAGGGAAAAAGACCTAACAAAGATAAACTCTAAAACTGGATAAATATAGGGATCCACCAAAAACCTATTAAAAACAGAATAAATAAGATCTGCTGCACAGAAGGTGTAGCAGTAAAAATCCAGGAGCTGGTGAATATTAAAGAATTATTGTGTAGAATATAATATTATTGTTGCAAGAAATCAAATTAGTATGAAGATTCAAATGTGTGTGTGTGTGTGTGTGTATACACAAACGATATATGTATGGCAGAATTACCTCGTAACCCAGGAAACAGTATGCTGGAAAAAGAGTAATATGTGCCAAATTATGTACTTTCACTCACTAACTTGGATGAAAGCTACAAAGGTTTAGAAATAAATGAATAAACTATCACCTTGATAGACAATGTGATAGAAAAGTGTCTGTAATTGGGCAAAGAGCCAGTACATAGAGCTGGCTGCCTTAAGCAATGAATAGAATGTATCGTTAAAAAGTAACAAAAATTTATTGTAGTATAAAAATATATTAAAATTAAGTCCACACAGAGAGTAATAGAAATTAGGAAGGTAGAATATGCACAGTAACCTTAAGCACCGGCACGGATGGATTCAGATTGCGATCTTGATACAGTGGCTGGCATCTGGTGACCGGTGAGGTCGGTCTGCGTTCCACCTCGAGCCTCACTTTGGGGGAGCTGCACTGCTGATCAGATGTTGCGGTTCAAACGCCAGTGATCCAAAGAATCGCCGGGCTGCTGCGCTGACACCTCCTGTCTATCGTCGTTGTGTGGACAATCTGTAACTTCGGACTTTGTCTGACGCGTTTCGTAGGGGATAGCCCTACTTCCTCAGAGACATCTGCATTCACTGCCATATGGGGATGTTTATATATCGCTCTCTCTGTCCCCAATTGGTTAATTGAAAGATGGATACATCATGATACATTCAATACATCGCTTTAACTGTAATACACACGTTGTGCAAATAAAATGAAAATATATATACATACACATATAAATAAATATTTTATATAATAGACATATAAGAAAAACTATATTCATGGCATTAATTGAGAATTATGTACATAAATTAAAATCCACATTTTGCATGTAAAATATATATAATAAACAAAACAAACTAAACTGTTTTATTAATATGCTTTTAGGGTATTACAGCCTATGCAGACCATCTAATGTCACATACGACTCATGTAGGAATGATTTATTCAGTTTAAGATGTTAAAAAGAGCAATTGCAAATTGACATCTCATTAATAATATACATTTCCACCACTTTAGTTTGTTTTGTTTATTATATATATTTTACATGCAAAATGTGGATTTTAATTTATGTACATAATTCTCAATTAATGCCATGAATATAGTTTTTCTTATATGTCTATCACCGGTCACCAGATGCCAGCCACTGTATCAAGATCGCAATCTGAATCCATTCGTGCCGGTGCTTAAGGTTACTGTGCATATTCTACCTTCCTAATTTCTATTGCTCTCTGTGTGGACTTAATTTTAATATATTTTTATACTACAATAAATTTTTGTTACTTTTTAACTGATTTTTTTTTTTTGGCGATACATTCTATTCATTGCTTAAAGGACCACTCTAGGCACCCAGACCACTTCAGCTTAATGAAGTGGTCTGGGTGCCAGGTCCTTCTAGGGTTAACCCATTTTTTCATAATTATAGCAGTTTCAGAGAAACTGCTATAATTATGAATGGTTAAGCCTTCCTCTATCTCTAGTGGGCTGTCTCACTGACAGCCACTAGAGGCGCTTATGTTTCTCACTGTGATTTTCACAGTGAGAAAGACGTCTAGGAAAGCATTATAAATGCTTTAGGAGATCGCCGAATGCGCCAAGGCCTTTGCGCGGCGCATTCGCCGGGGGCGGTAGTGAGAGGAGGAGGAGAGCTCCCAGCTGGAAAAAGGTAAGTTTAAACCCCTTTCCCCCTTCCAGAGCCGGGCGGGAGGGGGTCCCTGAGGGTGGGGGCACCCTCAGGGCACCATAGTGCCAGGAAAACGAGTATGTTTTCCTGGCACTATAGTGGTCCTTTAAGGCAGCCAGCTCTATGTACTGGCTCTTTGCCCAATTACAGACACTTTTCTATCACATTGTGCAAGGTGATAGTTTATTCATTTATTTCTAAACCTTTGTAGCTTTCATCCAAGTTAGTGAGTGAAAGTATATAATTTGGCACATATTACTCTTTTTCCAGAATCCTGTTTCCTGGGTTATGAGGTAATTCTGCCATACATATATCGTTTGTGTATACACACACACATTTGAATCTTCATACTAATTTGATTTCTTGCAACAATAATATTATATTCTACACAATAATTCTTTAATATTCACCAGCTCCTGGATTTTTACTGCTACATCTTATTTACAGCAAGCAAGGTAATCCACGAATATCCCAATACAGATCCCAATGACTGGACGACACACAGCATCAGGAGCAGAACTCACTTTTAATCACACAACCTCCTTTTAAAGGTTTCTCCCATTCATTTGTACAGTAGCCAATAGTGTAATGGTTACCTCCCACACATCTCCTCCCCACAGTGTGACACATAATCCACTTATACATACTGCAGTTTTACCCGATTTCTGGATGTACCCGAAAACAGTCAGATATAATTATATAAGGGATACCCCTGGTAGCCCTGATCTGGGTGACCAACATATTCAAAATTCACCCAGATCGGACCAGGGGTTCGGGAGTTATGCCAAACGGCGGCCACCCAGATATGCATACAAAGTAGCGATTGCATGGTCAATTAACTTGCAGTTACAGAAGTGTGAAAGCCTAACGAGGTGCACACCTTTCTCTGGGGTGGTCTGATGGTTCAGTAGTTTTCATTCGTAGGGAACACGAACTGAAACTACCAAACAATCAGCCGAATGCTACATACAATACATCAATACAGGGGAATAATCACACGGAAAAAATTTTAAGCATATTTTGAGGACAGCTCCATGCCATCCGCTACACCGTCCTTCCTCCCCAGCGGCAGAGTGAGTTACAGGGAGCCAAAGGTGTCGTCCTTCCTCCCCAGTGGCAGTGTGTGTCCTTATGAGAGGAGACAGTGGGTCCCTCTCCCCAGCAGTCCAGTGAGTCCCAGGGAGGCAAGTCCTTCCTCCCCAGCGGCAGAGTGTGTTACAGGGAGCTGAAGGTGCCATCCTTCCTCCCCAGCGGCAGCTTATTTCAAATGGGAGTGTTTATACCTGAGCCACTGTGATTGGCTACTGTACCTTATTTGTCCCAGTCTTCCATCTGGTCCCATAGGGGAGTGTCCACCAGGTGGGAGCCCTCAATAAACCAGAATCCTATTTTACACTCAAGGCGGAGCTTGGTCTCGTGTTTGGGGGGATTGCTACTTTGGAATATTATTTTGCCTTTTCCAGGAGAGAAGGATTTCCTCCTCTACATCTTGGAGATAATTGGGAAGAAATCCAATTTTCTCCAGGGATAGAGGCAAACCGCCATTTTTACATGGTATAATAAAAACACGTAAAACTACCGAATGCATTTAATTCGTATAACGTATCCCCAGATAGCCTAGATCTAAGCGCACATTACTACCGAATTGCGCTCAGACCCATGGAGTCAAAGTCTTTCACACTGTTCTTTCGGTATACAAATGACTCCATGGGATGGATATCTGGGTTAAGTGCATTCGTACAATAAAAAGTCCCGAACGGACCGGCATTCTTATGCCTGATTATAAGAAGGGCGGTCGGCGGTTTCAGCGGTGTTCGGTAGAAAAGGTGTCCGGTTTGGGTTCCATAAGTTCATTGTCGAACACCGCTGCTCATTCGTGTATTTAAAATGGCCGCTGCCTCGTGGTCGACATACGAACGACGACCACCCAGCATATGGATCTACTCCCCATTCTCATTCACCTAGACGAACAGCTTTCAGGAGTTCCAGAATACCGAACACAGGGAGCATTCTCCACAAATCAGTTTGAATATATCTTATGTTGTTTTCGTGAAAGCTTAAGCCACAATTTCCATGGAACTATATCTAGGCTTCGACCTCGTGGCAGACTGGTCAGATCTTCCCTGCGGTGCCGATTGCAAACTACCGAACTGATCGGGGTGATTTTCGGATATATTGTTCACCCAGATCCAGGCTACCCATGGATTTGAATTTTGTCGGGTTCCCATGTATGTTGGGGGTACTTTTGAGGTGTTGTTGTAATATTGTACCTTTTTCTGTGCCTGGAGATAATTGAGTTTAGTGCAGTCTCCGACTCCATTATCTCCCAAGTTCAGAGGAGAAGTTTACTGACTGTATAAATTTGATGCCTGCTCTCCATTTAAATCAGTCTTACCCCAGCATTAAGCGTTGGCTCATGTGTTGGGGGTTATGCGATACTGGCAATATTTTAACCTGTGGATTATTGGCGTATTATTATGGGAAAAGGGTATCCATGGCGGTGATACCTTGACAGACCGCCACACTACTTAAAAGTAGATTATACTGCAAACTTGAAAAGTGCCTATTTGATCAGACAGTTCCTAGGTTATGTGATCTCTGCTTTTGGTTTCCAAATGGATCCATGAAAACTTGAGGCGGTTCTGCACTGGCCCCTACTCAGTGGACTGAAAGGTATTCAGTGTTTTTATAGGCTTTGCCAATTATTATTGTAGGTTCATAAAAGGCTTCTCTTCTCTTATAGCCCCCATTACTAGCCTAACCATGTAAACTGTCACAGGAAGCTAAAGAAGCATTTGATAATCTCAAGACCTTGTTTGCTTCTGCTCACATACTAGTGCACCCTGATACCAGTATACATTTTATACTAAAGGTAGATGCATCAGAAACTGGGGTAGGTGCTATTCTATCTCAGAGGCAGATAGGACAACCCTTTACACCCTTGTGGGTTTTTCTCCAGAAAACGGTCGCCAGCAGAAAGAAACTATGATATAGGCAACAGAGAACTGTTAGCCATTATCCTGGCCTTAAAAGAATGGCAACATCTTTTGGAAGGTTCCAAAGATCCACGTTTAATCATCACTGATCACAAGAATCTGGCTTACATAGGTGAAGCCAAGAGATTGTCTTTTAGACAAGCTGGATTGTCTCTGTTCTTGTCACGTTCAATTTCGTGATTACATACAGACCAGACACAAGAAACGTCAAAGCTGGCACCCTATCTCGTCAATTCCGAGGAGCAAGACATTTCTCTTATTATACCTCCTGAATGCATTATTGCTTCTCCTTAGTACCATCATGACAGCTCAGGTACAGGCTCTCAGCAACAAACCCCAGGGTAAATTGTACATACCACTTAAGGAGAGAAAATAAATAATTGAAGGTATTTCATGATTTCTTTTTAGTAGCAATTTAGTCACAAACACTGGCCAAAATTGGCATGCAAATTCATTTTTTTGCATTTTTCACACACAAACAAATATTAACGCTAACTTTGGCCAGTTTTTGTGACTAAGTGGCTACTAAAAAAGTCTGAACACACCCCGTTTGCTATACCCTGGGTTGTCTACTTTTGCAAATGGTATGCCATCATGGGGGTAATTCTCATTCCTGGGCTACCATACGCTCTCAAAGGCAACATAACCAATCTGGCAAATTTCAATGTGAAAAAAACAGAAAAATGTAACACGCTATATTTGACCCTGTAACTTCCCAAAACACCATAAAAACTGTACATAGTGGGTACTGTTTTACACGTGAGACATCGCTGAATACAAATGTGTATTTTATTGCATCACTCTGAACCGTTGTTACATTTCAGCTGTTCACCTCCAAATAGGATCACTGCATTTTTTTGTATATAAGGTATCCATCTCACATACACAATTGTCTTGAAAAAAGTCTTTTACAGACTGAAACGTCGTCTGGAACATTGTGTGAATTTGTAATTGCTCAATAAAGCAACATATGAAATTTATTTTGAAAGACTCCTGAGTGCTCTCTACTGGTATCGTGTGTGTGTGTGTGTGTGTATGTGTATATAATAATTCTACATATATATTTATGTAATCATTGATTGGTGAGCTGTTTTTAAAGAAAGAGTGTATGGTGATCTATTGTTAAACCACAAGGATGTTTGACCGATATAAAATGTTTCTTTTAGTTTGAGGAGGAGAACGAAGACACTGCTGGAGGGGTAGACGGGGCACAGGGGAGAAGAAAGAGGCTCTTTTCCAAAGAATGTAAGTTTTTAAATAAATATGGTTTGTATCACAATGAAATCTCAGCAGGAAACGTAATCCTGGTGTGATAATGATTTATCTAATCCACAACCCCTTTCCCTGACAGGAGGTCATATTTCTTATCCCTTGTGTAATGGCTTGGAAGATTTACACTATACCAAATCTGTGTCATTCAAGTCATTGTGGGTTTGTTTGTTTTTTCCAAACATGCTGCGTAACTTGTAGGCCTTTGCCTTTGTTATTAATATTAATATTTTAGAAATGAAATTGTATTCACAAATAGTGAGTGAAACTAGGACTGGCCTAGTAGAAACTATATCAACAGGCAAGACTAGTAATTATTTGCCCACTGCTGCCTGAAGGACTATTCCGGGTAAAACGTCATCTTCTGGCGCTGGATTGCCTTGCCTGTAATAAAATGACAATGTTAAAAGGCACTTCCAATCTGTGCCTGGAACATTCCAATCACAGGCTTCTCGTTGTGGTTCCATCTCAACCCATATTAAGAGTTTGGTGTCAAGCCTGCAGACCAGATAGCCCTTGAAGTTTAAATATGATATTTCTTAGTGTTGGGCCTGAGTTGTGCAAAGTAGATCCAGACACAGTGCTTAATATCGTTTGTTTTGCATTGTTCCCAGTGAGGTGCATGATGTATGGTTTTGGGGACGATCAGAATCCGTACACAGAATCTGTGGATATCTTGGAAGATCTGGTCATCGAATTTATTACAGAGATGGTGAGTAAAAGTTATCAGCCGTGCCAAACATGTAGCCCCATCAAATAATTTAATAGTCTTTGAGGCGTTTCACACTCGCTTCTATTGTGACTGTGTAAAGCGACCGTTAAACGTTGGGTTCATCCTTTGTCACATGAGCTGGCGGTGTCTCTAAAGCTTCACTATTGGGGATGAATTATGGCCACGGTGTGCAGTGAGCATATAACCTAAAACCTCAAGAATAATTTGTACATGTAATTTAAAGGGACACTGTGGGTGCCAGTACTACGTAAATGCAGTTGGTAGGTATGGCCTCATTAATATGCTGCATGCTTTATTAATCCCTTATACAAATAAGGCATGCTGTGCCTTTAAATCACTATAATAATACCTAAATATACCTTTAAAAACTCAGTCACAATTATCAGTGTGCAAATATGCCATTAAAAACAGCACTATCCATGCTAATTGTGTGTAATACTCCATTTAATAAACTTTAAGCTGATGTATTGATAAACTGGTAACCTACTGAAATGGAGTTGTTACAGCTTGGGTAGCACTGTCTGTCGTTTTATGTGAGCAGGGGTTAATGAGATGTTCTGGAATTGGCTACATCCTAGTCTGGGCAGAGCTTACTGCAGGAAGTATTACAAAATAGTGGCCATTTCCTGCCTTGATTGTAATATGCTTTTAGCAATACAATTTGTATCAAGATGGCTGCACAATGTATCGTTTAAACCTGTCATGCTCTTTTTAATGTGCCTGGGTCTAAACAGTAACTATAGGACTATTTATTTTGTCCATAGCTACATAGGCTGGAAGGAGACATGTATCCATCAATTTCAGCCTTCCTCCAAAAGAAGGAAAAAACCCAGTCTGAAGCACTTAAAACAAGCGAGGAAAAAATTCCATCTTGACCCCAGGATGGCAAACAGATCTATCCCTGGATCAAAAAGCTATTACTGTACAATTGAAAACCCTATATACTTTATTATGTCTTTGGCAAGTATGCATCTAGTTGCTTGTCCGTTCTGGGTTTTCAGTTTAAGGCTGTCTGTCTTAAGGAATTTGACCTGGTGTAATGGTGTTCCCTGTCGCAGAGCGTTCTTGGATTCGCTGGCTTCTTATAAAATGCAGTGGTTTCGCACATTACTCTGGCATCACACAAACTGTGAACAATTAGCGTTTATTTATCTAGCTCGTGTTACGCGGCTGCTCAGATGTGTAAATTATGGAGCGTTCACAATTCCTAAAATCTTTATTATACTCTCCCAATCTACCATTATTGAATTTATACAGAATTGTTTAATCCTTTGTCAGCTAGAAGGGGTTGTCTGCAATTTAAAATGCTAAATATTTATTTATTAAGTATTTCGTAAGAATCCCAGCCCAGGGGCAAAACAAAAAAATGTAATTCTTGAATTTTACAGCCTCTACCTATTGTATTGGCTATTGCTAGCTTTATTTTACTTGCACCAGTTCTGCTCAGTAACTAACGCTTCCTTTTAAATGTTTCCTCCGCAGACCCACAAGGCTATGTCAATTGGACGTCAGGGCAGGGTGCAGGTAGAAGACATCGTCTTCCTGATCCGGAAAGATCCTCGTAAATTTGCCAGAGTGAAGGACCTGCTGACGATGAACGAAGAGTTAAAACGGGCCAGGAAGGCTTTCGATGAAGCAAACTATGGATCCTAATGATTATTTGATGCACATCTGGCTGTCTTACTATGGAGACTTACAGGGATTCAATGGGGAAATAAAACTCCCCTGCAGACTGTATCTCTGCCGTCTGCACAGAGCCAGGGAGAGCTCTAAAAGGTATCTTGGAAGGCCTTCATGTCAGCTTGTAATGCTGCTGCTGCAGAGACAAACGGAACGGGGGGGGGGAAATGTTAAGAATTGTCAGAATAAAAATGTCACCTTTTTAAATCATTGTCACTTTGTTCTCTGACATTCCCGTGCCAGTTTCATTGGATAATCTTGTAATACCCCTATTTCTCAACATCTTAATCTAAGAATAAGGCGGGGGCTGAATAGGTTTGTATCTGATTTGCTTAAAGAGACATTAATGCATTTTTTAAAATCACTAATTCATAGAATAACTTGCTGAAAGTATCTCAAATCATGAAAGTAAAGGTTCCCGCATTTTACAAGAAAGCAGGTAACAAGATACAAGTGTGCACAAACTCCAGAATAGAAGGATCCAAAGGTCACAGAGTGAAAACTCATATTAAACTAATGGCTGACATGTCTGCTGTAAATTGCTGACTTCATAGAGCAATAAAGAATATCATTGTATGTGATGTAGGTATTGTCTACCACCATAAACACATAGCCAGGAGGGCATGATTCACCACCCTATAAGGGGTTTGAGCCCCTATACTAGGAAAAAAAATGGAATGTGGTGAAACACCAAAGGTAAATGTTAAAATATAACGGTTAATGGAAGACTAGTAAAAACCATCCAACGTATGGATGTATAAATATAACAGTAATAGACTCCAAAGTGAGACGAAAAACAAAACAGGTGAGTAAATAAGACCGAAAGGTATAGCTAAGCAATAAAATAACTTGTCCAGTGACCAGAGGAACCAAATGTCCAGATAGATAAGTGGCAACCAGGACCAGATTCTAAGGTACAGATATTAAGTTACTTGCCACCTGATCTCACCGGATGCCAAAAATACAGTACCCTATAACTCAAATGATGTGAGAGGAGTCTAATACATCGTGGGCGGAAAAGACCACTATAAGCATATACATTATATGTACATACATAAATCACCCGATATATCTTAAAGTGGTATATAGTGTAAACCAGCAGTTCACATAAAGGTATGAGGGAACACAGGAAGGGTGCATGTGTTGGTTGGTTCCTGCACTTAGACTAAAGTTAGCCAAAAATTATTTTCTGATCTCTACATATTTGACAGGAGACACACGTTCCCACCATGTGAGTAAACCAAAATAGATACAAATATATCTGAAACGGGTAACTTCTGTCAAGGTTCCTAAACTAAGTAAATCGATTGAAAGTTAAAGTGTGTGGTTTTGGGGACGATCAGAATCTGTGGATATCTTGGAAGATCTGGCCATCAAATTTATTAAATAGATGGTGAGTAAAAGTTTTCAGCCGTGCCAAACCTGTAGCCCCATCAAATAATTTAAGTCTTTGAGGCGTTTTACATTCGCTCCTATTGTGACTGTGTAAACCGACCATTAAACGTTAGCTTCATCCTTTTGTAACGTGACCTGGCGGTGTCTCTAAAGCTTAATTATTGGGGTTTGAATAATGGCCGGTGTGTGCAGTGAGCACATGAAGTGAAGGAGTGAAAATTAACTACAAATAACTAAAATCATGAGTGAAATAAACGGGCAGCAGGGCCGTACTGGCTACCAGGATACCGGGAAATTTCCCGGTGGGCCATTGGCACCTGTGGCCGGGCAGACAGCTGGGTGTGCTGGAAACCGCACTGGTAGCTATGCTGGCGGCCGCAGGGGACACAGGAAGCACCTCTAGTGACTCTGTCTGTCACTAGAGGTGTCACTAGGAAGCAATGTAAACACTGCCTTTTTTTTCCTCAAAAGTCAGTGTTTTTTCATTGAAAAGCCTGTAGTGACAGACCAGAATCACTACATTAAGCTGTGTGTGCGCGCGCGCCTGCTAGTGAGTGAGCTTGTGTTTTTAAGTCAATGAGCTTATGTATATCAGTGAGACTGTTTGTCTATGAGACTATAGCACTGAGTTTGTGTGTGTCAGTGAGATTGTCTGTGTCTGCATGTGAGTATGCTTACTGTATAATTAAACTCTTTACTCTGAAAGGACCAATATTTTATATTAGAAAGTGCAATATATATTTGAGAGATCTGGGTTGGCAAGACATAGCTTTATATATTACATGCGACAATATATGGCACAATGACTTATGGGGCTGTTTTGTATCCCAAGTCTGGTCCTGACCGCCAGTTCAAAGGAACGCCAAAGTCGCGCACTCAACGCGCGTTGTAGCTGTCACCGGGTTCATCAGGAGGACAGTTTGTCCTCTTAAGAGGGTCTTGCCGGCCTCTGCTCTGAAGCCCTGTCAGGGTATTCATTGGCTACAAGCATCAGCTGACCGCTCTCCGCCAATGACTGTGATTCTGTGAAGGAAAGTTCGGAGTCACACCCTATGGTTAATCTCCATGTGAGCATAGATACATGCTGGAGTCAGATAAATTCGTTCCACTATGTAGCCTCACCAACGGTTCTGAATGCATTTTCACACAGTAATTTCGTGATCGGCAGGTGACTGCATTTCTAGCCAGCCACAATGCCCCTGTCTCATAAGAGGCTTAACGGGTATTGAGAAGCTGTGACTGAAGAATATATGTGAAAAAATATGTGACTTGGTGTCCCATGAAGAGGAAAATGCAAGAGTCAGCTTACAAAATCTTATCACAGTGGTATAGAACCCCGCAGGTTTTACAAGCAATTGAATCTTCCCGGTAACTGCTGGAGATACCTGGTGGTACTTATGGTGGGATTGTCCCAAGTTAGTACCCTTCACAGAAGGAGTTCCTGACATGCTTAAAACGATTAATAACAAACCCTTTCCTTTCTTACCAGCCCCCTTCCTCCTTCCGCACACTACTTCTACAACCTTTGTCTATAAAAATTGTAAAAATCGATTACCATTTGTATAGCTGAAATTGCAAACATACCTGATCCCTTTATTTGGCGATATCCACATCAGCTCTCCATGTGACCACCAGGATAGAGGATAGAGAGCAATGGAGGAGATGATATATACTAGGATTTGGGCTCATTGGGTCGTGATGATGGATACGAACAACTTTCAGGTACTATCATCCCTCAAAACGTTAGACTGGTATTCTACTACCACATACGCATGGTATTCCTTTACACCGCCCTCCGCCATTGTTTCTACTCTCTCCTCTTCCTTCTTATCCTCATTGAAAGTTTCTCCAACATAAATTCCATAAAAGTGATGTCTATATTTTTACTTTGTATGATTGTACATGCTTGAACTTGCGACAATTTAGAAAAAGATATTTACCCTCCCCCACTCCCTTAAAAATAAAATAAATGAAAATGGTAAAATAGCTTGAATAACCCATTTGTAAAGACCTGAAGGCATTACTAGCAGTACAGCTTACTAAAATGGCAATTGCATGTAAAAGAATGTCTGCATTTGAGTATAATGCCCACACACAGTAAATTCAGTTAAATCATATACACTGCTCAAAAAAAATAAAGGGAACTCTTAAACAACACAATGTAACTCCAAGTCAATCACACTTCTGTGAAATCAAACTGTCCACTTAGGAAGCAACACTGAGTGACAATTTCACATGCTGTTGTGCAAATGGGATAGACAACAGGTGGAAATTATAGGCAATTAATAAGACACCCCCAATAAAGGAGTGGTTCTGCAGGTGGTGACCACAGACCACTTCTCAGTTCCTATGCTTCCTGGCTGATGTTTTGGTCACTTTTGAATGCTGGCGGTGCTTTCACTCTAGTGGTAGCATGAGATTGAGTCTACAACCCACACAATTGGCTCAGGTAGGCAGCTCATCCAGGATGGCACATCAATGTGAGCTGTGGCAAGAAGGTTTGCTGTGTCTGTCAGCATAGTGTCCAGAGCATGGAGACACTACCAGGAGACAGGCCAGTACAGCAGAAGATGTGGAGGAGGCCGTAGGAGGGCAACAACTCAGCAGCAGGACCGCTACCTCTGCCTTTGTGCAAGGAGGAACAGGCGGAGCACTGCCAGAGCCCTGCAAAATGACCTCCAGCAGGCCACAAATGTGCATGTGTCTGCTCAAACGGTCAGAAACAGACTCCATGAGGGCCCGACGTCCACAGGTGGGGGATGTGCTTACAGCCCAACACCGTGCAGGACGTTTGTCATTTGCCAGAGAACACCAAGATTGGCAAATTTGCTACTGGTGACCTGTGCTCTTCACAGATGAAAGCAGGTTCACACTGAGCACATGTGACAGACGTGACAGAGTCTGGAGATGCCGTGGAGAACGTTCTGCTGCCTGCAACATCCTCCAGCATGACCGGTTTGGCAGTGGGTCAGTAATGGTGTGGGGTGGCATTTCTTTGGGGGGCCGCACAGCCCTCCATGTGCTCGCCAGAGTAGCCTGACTGCCATTAGGTACCGAGATGAGATCCTCAGACCCCTTGTGAGACCATATGCTGGTGCGGTTGGCCCTGGGTTCCTCCTAATGCAAGACAATGCTAGACCTCATGTGGCTGGAGTGTGTCAGCAGTTCCTGCAAGACGAAGGCATTGATGCTATGGACTGGCCCGCCCGTTCCCCAGACTCGAATCCAATTGAGCACATCTGGGACATCATGTCTCGCTCCATCCACCAACGTCATGTTGCGCTACAGACTGTCCAGGAGTTGGGAGGAGATCCCTCAGGAGACCATCCGCTACCTCATCTGGAGCATGCACAGGCGTTGTAGGTAGGTCATACAGGCATATGGAGGCCACACACACACAAAGTTGGATCAGCCTGTAGTGTGCTTTTCCACTTTAATTTTGAGTGGGACTCCAAATCCAGACCTCCATGGGTTAAAAATTTTGATTTCCATTTTTTAAATTTTTGTGTAAAGAACAAAGTATTTCAGAAGAATATTTAATTCATTTAGATCTAGGATGTGTTATTTTTGTGTTCCCTTTATTTTTGAGCAGTGTATTTCTAAAGTAAAGGTACTCAAAACTGCTATAGCAATCTTTATCAATCTCTGGAATGTAAATGTAATGCTAACAGTGACATGGTAGATTCACTCCCACCTCCTCTCTAACTGTAGGAATGGTATCACTCATTGAAACTTCTTTTACAGTTTGGAAGCAGGGCTTAGCTGACATTTTCAGCAAACTTTGCAGGCATTATATTAGTGACCAGTGGCTACTGGCAGATAACTTGTTGCTCTCAGTCTGGTAATCGTAACCAGAGTTTAAATGAGGGAGAGGGGGGCTTTAATGACTAAGTTTCATTCTGAAAAATATATGAAAATAAAAACCTTGTTAAATTGAATCTGGTAGTGAAGTGTTGCCAGTAGCAGCCAGAGAATAATGTAACCCTGTAGGCTGGCATACTTCCCAACACAGATATGAAATCGAGATAAGGGTGAAACGGTCTCTCTTGTCATTCCACAGAATGCAGCAACAATCTAAGTTAAAGAAAGACTTCTACACATAAAGTACGACCTACTATCCCCTCTTCTCAATGAACTGTACCGCAGCTTGGCGAGAAGCAATGAAACGCTGCGCATACGCGCAGGCACACGCAGCTCCAGCGCAACAACTTCTCAATGAGAAACTTCTGATTGGTGTATTCCTCAGCACAGACTGCAAGTCAATGTAGGGAAAAGAGGGTGGAGCTTGCAAAGGCTGCAGACAGCAGTTCTGCAGCTTTTGCATGCTGATTTTATATCTAAACCAAAAAAAAAACCATGCATGTATTTAGATATTCCCCAACCCCAAACTACATGCATGTTTTCTGGTGGGTGTATCTACCAAAATGTTAATAAATGCCATGGGGTGTTCCTTTACTCTGACTCTGAACCTGTCTCAGTATTTAGAGAATGTCCATGGTAAATATTAAAACACAGCAGTTTATTTTCCCCCATTAATGTCTATGGGCATTGTTTTTGCCATTCTGTTCAGTATATCCAGATAATTGTGTAATTTATGGCTGTAACCTGCAGGTATTAGATAATATGTGTAGTTACTACATCCTGGATTATATCATATTAATATGATTTG